TTGGGACCTAAGGTGGGTCTGAGTCCTCTTCTGTCCCTGGTGCTGTCTTAGGAAGATTAAGTGCCCACTATGTACCACGTACTCTGGTCCTCATAGCTGCATGGCATGATAGAAAGGGTGCTAAAAGTCTGGAAACTTAGAAAGGCAACCTGTCTTGGACAGGTTAGAAGCTATATGACCCAACATAACTAATGTGGAAATAAGTTTAATGTAATTGTATATGTATAACCTATATCAGATTGCTTGCCATCATGGGGAGAGGGGAGGGAAGGGAGGGAGGGAGAAAAAAAATCTTATAAAAGTGATTGTTGAAAGTTATCTTTACATGTAATTGGAAAAAATGAAATATTAAGTAGGGGAAAAAGAGTATGGTATCCAAGATATATAAACAATTCATAAATATATATGAGATGAATAGCCATTCCCCAATAGATAAATGGTCAACAGAAATGAACAAACAGTTCTCAAAAGTTGAATTGCAAAGTATGTACAACCACATGAAATAATGTTCTAAATCACTAGTAATAAGAGATGAAAATCAAAATAACTCTGAGGTTTCACTTCATATGCTGCAAATTGGCAAAAATCACCAAAAAGTAGTAATGGCCAGTGTTGAAGGGCTTAGAGGCACACTAACATATTGTTGGCAGAGCTGTGAAATGGTACTACCATTTTGGAAAGCAATTTGGAATTGTGCAAATAAAGTGAGTAAAATGGGAGAAGAAAAAGAAGAAGAAGAAGGTGATGATAATGATGAAGAAGATGATGATGATGATGTGTGACCATGAGCAAATGGGTTTGGCCCTCAGAGCCAAAGTTTTCTCATTTGATAACACTTATACTAACCTATTCTCATAGGGAAGAAAATGCTTGGCAAACCTTACAATGCTCTCTCAAATTTACTAGTTATTACGCAGGCTACCTTCTTCCCCTAGTTAATTTGGGTACTTTATGTCCCCTTGCCCTTTCTAAATAGTCATTTCCCATCCACCTCAGCCATCTATCTTGAGCACCTCTAGTAACTACAGCCCAAAGCTTGAACTAACAGAAGACAGACCATAGTCCTTCCTCTTCCCACAATAGTTCAGGGTCAGAAGAGTGTCAGCCAAGATAGTCCTGGGCAGTGCTGACCCTGCCAGAGAAGTGGGGGAGGGGAGCTAACCAATAGTAAATAGTCTCTTCCCCAAGTGTTTATAGAATATGAGTCCTTCAGGGGCTATAGACAGAAGAACAGCAGTAATAAAATGTGATCTAGGGGTCCAAGAAAAAGAGAATCAATGTAATAATAGCAAAATCAGGCTTTTCTACAGCTCTTTAAAGTTTGCAAAATTAGCACACCTGAGCCTCACAACAGCTCTGGGAGGTAGAAATAGCAGGAATTATTTTCCCTGTTCTACTGATGAGGAAAACAAAGACCAGAAAGCATAGTACCTGCCTCACAGGTGTTCACAATATAGTGAAGGAGATATTATATGAGAGAAAATTATGAACCCAAGTCAATGCATGATTAATGCTACATTAAGAGTACCCGTAAGAAGTGCTGTGGGAAGAGATCAGAACGGGGTTGAGTAGGGAAGCTTTCATGACATGGGACTCAATCTGGCATTCAAGGCCCTCTATAGCTTAGTTCTGTTCTACCTTTCCAGAATTCCCTCACACAGCTCCATTCCATGGACCTCCACACACCAGCCAGACTAGTCCACTCAATGAGTTCATTATCTCTATTTGTTGTTATTGTTCAGTTGTTTCAGGAGGGGTAGGATTTCAGAAGATGGAGATGGGTCAGGAAAGGCATTCTAGGAGGAGGAAGGGTATGAGCAAAGATATGAAGGCAGGAATATAAAGGGCATGTAAAGGGTCTAGTTCAGGTATAGTTTGGATAACAGTGAAAAACAGGCCTGGAAAGGTAGGTTGGGGAAAGGTTACATGGGGCAGGGAATGAATTAATTGAGGCGCCATCAGGCCAGCCACTCAGCCTAGTGAAGACAGGTTTTTGAATATGGAAGAAAGGGAACAGCTAACTCAATGACCATAGAACCACCTGCAAGCTATGCCATACTGGTATTACACCTCTGCTCTAAAAACCTTCAGTGGCTCCCTACTGTCTGCCACATAAAATTCATATTTCTAGGCCTGGCATTCAAGGCCCTCTATAGCCTGGTTCTGTTCTACCTTTCCACAATTCCCTCACATAGCTCTAGTCCATGGACCCCCATAATCAGCCAAACTAGACCACTCATTATTCCTGATACATTCCCTCACTTTCTTATTTCTGTATCATTTGTTGTTATTGTTCAGTCATTTCGATTGGGACCCCATTTGGGGTTTTCTTGGCGAAGATACTGGAGTAGTTGACCCTCTCCTTCTCCAGCTCATTTTTATAGATGAGGAAACTGAGGAAAACAGGGTTAAGTGACTTGACCAGGGTTACACAGCTAGCAAATGTCTGTAATAATAGCTAGCATTTACATGGCACCTTAAGGTTTGCAGAGGAGAAAATTGAGGACCAAGCTAAATTAATTGCCTGGGGTATTTGAAGTAGGATTCAGTCACTGTTCAGACACCTGTTCCAAGACTTTGCACCTGGCTGTCTGTCTCTAATTTTCTCTAAAGTGCTATTTAAATGCAGCCTTCTCCATGAAGCCTTTCCTGATCCCCATCCTCAGCTGGTAGTGCATTCCCTTCCAGATATGCCTGGCATGTTGACTGACATGTGGTAAATAGTAAATATTTGTTGATTGATTCATTGATTTTGCTGTGTTATCTATAGTTTGTTGACCAGTGGATAGCTTGTATCCCAAGATCCTTCACACTATAGTGAAGTGGTTTCATGTACTCTAAATGATTAATTTGACCAAGTCTAGAGTTTCCTCTTTGCCCAAAATCATGAGATGTGTTGATTGAGAAGTCTGGGGGAGAGGGACAGTGGAGAGTAATCAAGTAATCAACAAGTATTTATTAAGTGCTGCTTCCCTTTCTAAATGCTCACATACCATCCTTCCAATAGTGTAGTATACAAATTTGCTAGGCCTGGATATCCAGTTCACTGGTCCCTAGTCTGAAGAATCAACTCCTTCCCTTTTTAGAAATATGACACATCTGCCCACTTCCTGCAGCATCTTCCCTGTTCTGCATGATTCTTCAAACATCAGCAGCAGTAGCTCTACAATCTAAGAATCCTTTGACCTCTAACAGTCTGTGAAAAATGGCTATGTCAAGCTTATTAACATTCAAGTTACATCATTTCTACTTTGCTGACGAGTCATCTCCTAGGTCAGATTTGGGAACTGATTCATAATGACCTCTTTCCCAGGGCGGCTGCTGGCACTTATGAATTCAGTGTCGCTCCTAGATAGTACAGGGTAATGCCCCTGTAACTGCATATCAGATCTGTCTCTTCAGCCCCAAGGCCTTCTGAAGTGTGAGGTTTGGGGAAATTATCAAAGATCATATTGGACATCTCCCTACCTTTGGCACAACTGCCTCATGGAGAGGAAGGTATCTTATTGATAAAGCTTTCTGGGGGCTGAAAGCCAATAGCTTCCCTCAGCTGCTCATTTCATTCATATGTACATATATATGCATATATACATATACATATATATACATATATATACACACATAATATATATAAATCTCATATAACACATATCATATATGTCTCAAACTTATTAACATTCAGGGTCCTTATAAAGAAAAACAGCTATTCCTTATGGGAGGAGAGAACATGGACACAAGGTAAATATATTAAATATTATGTATTAATAGTATAATGTTTTAATATATCAATATTATATGATATTTAATATATTAGCATTATATATTTAATATTACATATTGGTTTAATATTATATATATTTATATTCCTTATGATATTCCTTACATCCATGTTCTCTTCTCCCATGAGGATACCTGTCTTTATAAGGACCTTGAATATTAATAAGTTCAAGACATATATGGCATATATTATATGAGATTGCATGTTATATGTATGTGTGTACATATAGACATATGTATACATATTTACATGCACGTGTGCATGCATATTTTTATAAAATAAGCATCTAAAGGAAGCTATTGGCTTTCAGCCCCTGGAAAGCTTTACCAATAAGAGACCTTCATCTCCATGACGCAATTGTACCAGAGGTAAGGAGATGTCCAATATGATCTTTAATAATTCCCCGGCAAGTTATTCTGGGCAGTTACAGGGGTGGGGCTGTCATGGTGTGCATCACCACATCTGTGTATATGGGGGAGGGTCACTGTCATGTCAGAGTGTGTGTGACATCTTTGCATTGCTACATCTGTGTGAAGGACTTGGCATTTCCACATCTTGGGGAAGGTGGGAGACAGAAGGTTGTCATTAAACACCTACAGGAAAGAGAGGAAGGGGACGTCCCCACATCTGTTTATGGAAGCTGACATCATTACTCTTATAAATGTGTCCTGTATTTATGTATCTGCAGACATGATATTTCAGCAGTAGACTGTAAGCCCCTTGGGGGCAGGAATTGTTCTTTCTCTTTATATTCCCAGCAACTAGCACAGTGCCTGCCACATAATAAGTATGTAATAAAATACCTGTTGGTTGAATAATTACCTGCAGGTTGGGAAGGGTAATAACACCATTTCTCTTTGGTGAGGAAGGTACATCTGAGAAGAGGCTGGTCAGGAGGACATGAGTTCAAATCCAGTCTCAGACACATGACACTTACTAGCTATGTGACCCTGGGCAAATCACTTAACCCAGACTGCCTCACCAAAAAAAAAAGCACAAAAAAAAAGAGACTGGCATTTATCTGGGGGGAGGGGAGCAGGGATGTTGGCACGCCACATCTGCATGATCTTTGGGATAGAGACCTGTGAATAATCTGGTGGATTACTCAGAAGGAGGGGAGGTTGACCTCTGGGCTCTGTACTTCAGGGGCTTGGAAAGGCCCCTCTGGCCCCAAGGTTCACTCTGGATGAGAACAGTCAACTGGGATGTGGTTCTATTCTAGGTAGATTTCCTTATTGAAAATGATGCCGAGAAGGATTACCTGTATGATGTTCTCCGTATGTACCATGAGTGAGTATGAAAGTGACTTCAGGCTCCTCCCTATCCGCTCCGTTCTCTCTCCCCTTCCCCAGTCCCTCTCTTCTCCCTCTCTCCACCTCCCTGTCTTCCCTACTGGGCTATTTGTTGCCTGAGCTGAGCCCTCATTGTTTCAAAGGCTGTAGTCCCTGACAATCAGTCTCCATGGGCCTCAGTGCTGAGGGGAGTGGGCCAGATTGGCCCATCGCCTGACCCAGTTTCCATCTGGGCTCTATAACTGTTTCCACCTGCTGGGGCAGCCCCAGGAGAATCAAGGGTTAGTAATCATTCAGACTAGCCCTTCATGGAAGTATTACCAAGGATGGAGATGGGAAGGACTGATCAGGAAAACTAGGGGCACAAAGGTGTCAGAAGGACAGGGGTTGTCTTGGGGAGCAGGAATGTGGCTCAGGGCCTCACACTGGCTGCTTTTCTTTGGTTGGACACCTGGCTGTCCCTATAAATTCCTCCCCTCTCTTCCTACCTCTGCCTTGAAAAATACACACTATATTATGCTAGGCTCACAGAGACAAATTGCTTACATCTCCTCGGGGACTTCGTATTGTGCCATTTCCCTTTCCATCTCTCCTTTGTATTACATTAATCTGTCTTGTCAGTGCCCTCATCCTCAAGAAAAAGGACACTTTTGGTACCCTGTTTTTTCACTTTGTCCCTATCCCTGAAAACAACAATATAATCGACATTACTAAAACACTGCCCCCCGGCCACTGCCCCGTAATGTGCTTTGTCTCCCCTGTTAGAATGTTAGCTTCTAGTATTTATATCCCCAGTGCTTGGCACAGTGCCTGGAAAAATACTCAACATCAAATAAATGCTCTTCTATTGCATTTTCTATAAGGGCCATGGACGTGTCTGTGCTGGTGGGCGACCTGAAGTTGGTGATCAATGAACCCAATCGCCTGCCCCTATTTGATGCTGTCCGGCCCCTGATCCCACTGAAGCACCAGGTGGAATATGATCAGCTGACCCCCAGGCGTTCCAGGTAGGAACAGATTCGAGGAAGTGATGGGGAAGGTAGGCAAGGCGGGGTGATGTTAGAGCCCAGTGTTGGGCAGGGACTTAGTCACTGAAGTCAAGGGGCCTTCTCGATGCACAGATAGGAGAAACAGTTCATTAGCTGGATAAGGAAGGGGCGGCTGTGTTCAGGACCTCCGTTTCTGGAGTGACAGACACCTTTGTCTTCTCCAACAGAAAGCTGAAAGAGGTGCGCTTAGACCGCACGCATCCTGAAGGTCTGGGCATTAGTGTGCGTGGAGGCCTGGAATTTGGCTGCGGCCTTTTCATATCCCACCTCATCAAAGGAGGACAAGCAGACAACGTCGGGCTCCAGGTGAGTGAGGGGAGACCTTGGAAATCGGCGAGTCCTAGAACTTCCTAGCTATCTATCTGCTCAAGGCTATTAAGATCCAGTAGGTTCTGAATTCAAATGTAGCCTCTGACCGAGTCATTGGGTACAGCTTTTCCCCATTGTGAAGAAGGAAGCTCAGAGTCAGTCCATCCTCTAGCAGGGTCATTACACTAAGACAGTTCAGCTGGCTAGTCCAGACTCCTAGAAATCAGGCAATGGCCTTCTTCCTGCGGGTCATACAACACTCCGTCTTCTGCTTTTCTGTCTTTGCCTTGGTTGTTTTCATGTCCAAAATGAATGTCTCCTTCACCTCTGTGTCTCCGAATCCCGAGTGTCGGTCAAGACTCAGCTCCACCACCACTTCCATTAAGCCTTTCCTGATTTCCATGAGCCCTGCCCCACTGCACCCCCAGCTGCCAGTAGTTTCTTTCCCAAAACCACTTCTTTTGACCTCGTTCTAAATCCACAGCTGTCCTAGTTATTATTTCTCCAGGAAGGTGAATCTATGGCTCAAGTCCAATCCTGGCCAAATTTTGTCTCACTCCCAAAGGTGCCATTTGATCAGACAACTTGGAGGTAAGGGGTAGGAAGGGGCTATCCAGTCAAAACTACCCCTATTCTTGTCCCCAACCCCCCCCCAGCATAGTGATCAGATCACTTTTATCCAAACACTCCCACCGCTCCCTATATATGTTCTCTTCTCTTATTAAAATGTAAGCTCACATCTTTGTAGCTCTGGGGAAGTCATTTAATTTCCCCCAAGCTCAGTTTCTTCATTATTAAAATAGGATATTAATAGCATCTCCCTGACAGGGCTGTTGTGGGAATCCAATGAGATACTGTTTGCCAAGTGCTTCGTAAGCCTCAAAGGGCTCCATAAATGCCAGCTATTTTTATTATCATTATATATTTTGTATGTGCCTATTTATGTATCCTTTTGTCTCCCATGACAGAGATAGGCTTCTCAAAGGCTGGGTCTGTTTTCTTTTTTGCCTTTGTCTTATATTCCCAGGCATGCTGTAGGTGCTTAATAAATGCTGATTGAGTGAAAAATACCACCACCACCCCCAGCCCAAGTGACCCCTGCTGCTACCTGACTGCCCCAGTGCTACAAGGCTGTGGGGTGGCTGAGGGCTGGAGGCAGTGACCGCAGGGTCTGCTTTGGGGCTGGCCAGCCCTTCCTGGCTGCCACAAGTGAAGCCCTCCCAGGCATGTATAGAGCTCTGAGCTCAGCCCCTCACAGAGCTGTACCTTGTGCCTGAAAACAAAGGAGACCCTCAGACTTCTTCCCCAGGCTCCCAGGAGAGTTTTGGAGCAATGTCTGAGGCCCCCTGGCTGCTGAAGAGGGGCTTCATGTGACTCAGGAGCCAGATGGCACAAGATACCGTGTGGCCCGGAGTGTGAGCTGGGAGCTGACAGACGGCGCTTTGTTCTAAATCGCTGTCTCATCGTAAAGCCAGCAGCTTCTGAAATTTCACCCCCTGCATTACTTCTCTACATCCCAGCACATTTTCTAGACCAGAAATGTGGTCTGAGAAAGGACATAATAACTTGCTATCATAACATCACCCAGGGCCCCCTTGATTTCCACACTAAGCTGTCTTCCCAGGGTAATTACTAATCAGATATTTGAGGCATTGGGAGGGACATGGGGCCGAAACTCTGAGTTTCTGCTGTCCTTGATGTCTCTCCGCTTATTAACTGGCAAGCTTGAGGCCTTTCATGGACTAGTATGTTCCGTCTCTCTTTGTCCCACTCTCTCAGATATTCATATCTGCAAAGGGCTTTTCCCAGGGTGTATGAGAATGAGTACAAGAGAAAATTAATCTAGAAACCTGAGCTGGCATGGGTGGGAGGAATAGCGTGAGAGTTGCTCGGGCCTGGGATTGTGGAGTAAGTTTCCTTTGGGAAAGGAGAGAGGAGAACTCAATGAGAGTTTGGAAGATGTGAGTTTCAGCCGGCTGGGTATTCATGTTTCTGGGTCAATCACAGGGGAGTCAGTGAACTCAACACTTGGCTAGAGGGCTGTGGCGGAGGCTCCTCAGAAGCCAGACAAGCAATAAGTTCACCTCCCTGCTGTGACATTGAGTGCAGTCCAATTCTTCCTGGGAGGTTGCATTTAGACAAGCTTGCAGGGCCCAGTTCTCCATGGGCTCATCAAAAAATGTTTCTCCATGGCGATTTTCAGGGATATCACCATTTATTAACCTAGGACTCATAGGATCATAGACCTAGAGCCAGTCTTAGCCATCCTAATGCCTTCATTTTACAGATGAAAGAACTGAAGTCTGGGAAGATTAAGTGATTTTACCCAAGGTCACATAGAAGTAGGCTTCCATTGTGGGATTTGAACGCAGGTCTTCTGGCTCCAGAGTCAGCCTTCATTCTACTCGACCCACATCACTCTCTATATCATTCATTCAAGTATCCCTGGCAAAAACAAGTCTAATTTGTTGAGTGACCTAGGACTGGTCATTTAATTTCTTTATGGCTCCCCAAATTGGTGGAATAATTGGAGAGAATATAGGCATGTCAGGTTTGGCCTGTATTCCCTCACCCGGGCCCCATTGATCGCCCAAAAAGAAATCTGGGCACATTCAAGGCCTCTGCCTGCATTAGGTGAACCAGGAACACTCGGGTTCTTTAAAGAGTCTGTCCTCAGTGGTCAGAGAAGCTGGAAATCACAGCCCAAGGCTGCTAGAAGGGTCCTGCAAACAAGAAGAAGGAGATAGAAAGTAGGTGATGGAGCTGGATTTTAGGGATAACATGGAAGGACATTTCTGACAGGTGGCCCAGGCTTGAACACTTCCAGTGCTGGGGAGCTCACTGCTTCCTGAGGCAGCCCATTCTGGTTCCAGATAGTTGATTGTTAGGAAGTTTCCCCTTAATTGGTGCCAACATTAAGCTCCTGTAATTTCCCTCTGTAACTGAGAGTGCTACTCTCTGGTCTTAAGTGGAACAAGCCAAGTCTCTCTTCTATGTGACTTCCCTTTAGGCACTTGAAGACAATGGTCATTTCTCCTCCAAATCTTTCCTTCTTCAGGTTAAACATCCCCAGTTTAAACATCAGATGTTCATGTGGCCTAGTTTCCAGTCCTTTTCATTAATCTGGAGTCAGCAACCCTTCTGTGCCTTCTAACTGTGATTCTGTTAAGACAGCATCGCCTTCAGCCCCTGCCCTAAAGCTGTGGGGGTACCTTTAGGTGGCTTCATGGAAAGAATTCCAATCCCTTCTCACATCTAGTTTATTTTTTTGTTTTTGTTTTTGTTTTATGTTTTATTTTTAAATTTATTTCAAACATACATGCAAAATAAGAGAAGAAAAAAAACCACTGCCATTACACAGCAGAACATGAGAGGATTCAATAGAGCAATACATTTCCATTTCAAGAAAACCTACATAATAAATACTACACATTACTTTCAAAGCTGTCCATCTTTTCTTTGCTTCCTTCTATGTTTTCTTTTGTCCTCTGCTGTGTACTTTTTATTTCATTTTTACCCTTCCTCCCCCACCAAAAAAGGCTACAATTGAGCGTGCATAAATATATATGTGTGTGTGTATATGTGTGTATATACATACATACACACACATACATGCGTACATAGACATAGACATACATAACATGCACATATATAAACATATACACTCAACCATATAGATGTAAGACGGCATTCTGCTTATTTCCACCTGTCATCTGTTTCTCTGAGGGTGGAGAGCCTCTTCCTTCATAAGTCTAAGTCTTTCCATATTTTTCTAAATCTACCAGCTCATCGTTTCCTACACCACAACAATATTCTGACCCAATCCCGTTCTATCTGGGAGATTGTCTAGAGAGTTTTTTCCCCAATTTTCTGCATTCCCTCTATTCTTTGCTACATGGGTTTTAGGAAATATTTGAATTTAAAATAACTAAAATGATCCATTTCACAAGGAGTGGTTTCATTTTTGTCTTTGTATTGCCATTACTCAGCACCAAGGCCTGGCATATAGTTGGTAGTTAATTGTTGAATTGAGAAATGCAAGTGATATAAAAAGATATCAACAAAAACATTGATTTCAAATTTTTTTTTAATAAAAAAATACTTGTTGATGTTTGAGGGGTCATATGTAGAAGTTTCCTATCCCATGTTACCAAGAAGATACCAAGATGTAACCATGCTTGGACATCCAATACAACCGTTGGTACAATTATTGGTTGTAACCAGTAGAATGTAAGCTTCTTGAGAACAAGGAATGTTTTATTCTTGCCTTTGTTTCCCCAGGGTCTAGCATAATGCCTAGAATATGGAAGACACTTAATAAATTGAACTGTTTTTAAGAATAAGGTTAGCTCATCTGTCTGGAGTGGTTTGGGGATCGCCTTCCAAAATACAGTGAACTGGGACCAGGTGATGATGTTTCAAGGTCCCTTCCAGTTCCTTTGTCAATTTGATGACAAAAGGTGACTGAATTATCAGCCTTCCCTAGGGCACAAAGGCACTATTCAGTGTAATTTGGTTCATTTGGCACGGTGCATCCACTGCTACAAGATCAGGCTGCAGTATGGCATAGATGAGCCCCTTCCTCAGAATGACCCTATGAAGCCTTCTGTGGCACATCTCCTGGCCTCCCTGACCAATCCTTTTCCCCTCATGCCACTTTTTAAAGTAGTTCCCCAAATCCAGTCTTCCCCTTGTCTCCTGCCAAGCTTGGTGACGAGATCGTCCGGATCAATGGATACTCTATATCTTCCTGTACCCATGAGGAAATCATCAACCTCATCCGAACCAAGAAGACCGTGTCCATCAAAGTGAGGCGTGAGTACAGTCAGTGCTGGAATTGGGGATGGAGGCAGCATCTTAGTGAGTGGTCTGGGAGGGAGATTGGGAGGATGATTGTCTTCCTGACTCATATCTTTTCCCCTACAGACATTGGCATGATCCCTGTGAAAAAGTGAGTGGCAGACCAGTCTTCCTTTGTTCTGTCTCCTGCTCTCCTATCTCTGATCTTCCTCACGCCTCCAGCCCTTACTCTCAGCTGATCAGGGGCATTCATTGGACCGCTAGTTTGTGCATTTAATGGGTGCCTTTAGCTTTTTGACACAGTCCTATAAAAAATGCTGGGGTATTTTTCTATTTTAATCAATTTGATAGCTATGTAACCAACTCCACCACCATCCCACTCCATCCAAGATAGCCCTTGGACTGTGAGATCTCCAGATGTGGAGCAAGGCTTACCCAGGGGTGGGTACATGCCATCAGAAGCTGTCTAATCACCCTACGTGTTCTTCCCCTCAGCTCTCCTGATGAGTCTCTCAAGTGGCAGTTTGTGGACCAGTTTGTGGCAGAGACAGGGGTAAGAAGTATGATGCCTCATCTTAGGAGACGGAATAAAGCAGGGGTCTCCTAACGTAGGTCATGCTTAACCAGAGAGTGATTTAGCCTGAGCTGGGCTCCTTTATCCAGGTGGAGTAGAGACTACATCTGTTAGACATGAGTCCCAGGGACCAAGAGCTAGGTGAGGGGAAGATGTATTCCCTGTGAACACCAGCTTGGATAAGGTGTTCCCACTATGGATGACCAGAATGAGATATATACAACTTGGCCTTTAAGCAAATTAATGTCTCTACAGAGATGACGAGGCTTGGAGTAGGCATTATAGCTCAGCCATTGGCTCAGGACAGAGTGGATGGATGGATGGATGGATGGATGGATAGATGGATAAGAAAGCATTAATTATTTTCTGTGGCTCAGAGAAGAGGTATAGGGACCCCTCCTTGCTTCCTGAGTTGACTTTGCCTTTCCCCTATGAGGCCACATGCATGCTCAGGCCCAGTACCACATATCTAATTCCTTTCTGAATAATCATCTATTGTTGCAGGGTGGGAGAGGTGGTCTGCCCTCTCTTGGGAGCCGAGAACACAGAGAGAAGAAAGTCTTCATCAGTCTGATTGGTTCTCGAGGCCTGGGGTGCAGGTGGGTAGTGGCCACATGGATTATATTTTTAGGTAAGGATTCCATTTTATCACTCTGCCCCCCACACAACTCTCCTCTCTCATTAGCTCTTACTGTTTTGTCTAAACACCAAAATGAGCAATTCAAATCTATACAGAGCTTTCTATTAATAATAATGGCACATTTATGTAACTGTTCAGGCTTATTAGGACTTTCCTAGCACTGATCCTGTGAGGTGGGTAGTGCAAGTATTATTTCATAACATGGGAATAAACTGAGGCCCAGAAAAGTGAAATATTTGGCAAAGGTCACACAGCTTTCTAAAATTCAAGTCCAAAATATGAAGGTAGCTGTTCCAGCTCCCAGCCCTATGCCACATTCTAGTAACTGCTTTCCAAGTAAAAAAGGGTGGCAGTGTATACCCCTAGCCTCCCCTTTCTCTCTCTGTGTCTCTCTCTGTCTCTGTCTCTCTCTCTCTGTCACACACACATACACACGCGCACACACACACACACACACACACACACACACACTGCCTGCTCTGTACAGAACACTATACTGAGTACTATGGCAGGGATACAGAAACATGAACAATCCATGTGTTACACACACGTGGAGTGGGCAGGCTAACAATCAGATAATTATTCAGAAGGTAATTGTCATTCCTGGGACCATTAAGAGATGAACCTGTTAGGTAACTGAGAGGTTTTGGGAGGAGAGAGAGGGGGACTGTCTGTAGCAGATAGAGGGATCAAGCCCTCTGCCTGCCCTTCTGATCTGTTTGTGCCAGCATTTCAAGTGGCCCCACCCAGAAGCCAGGCATCTTTATCAGCAACGTGAAGCCGGGTTCCCTGTCAGCAGAGGTTGGACTAGAGGTGAGTGAGTGTCCCCCACCCCCATCATCCCAACCCTGTTTTCAGAGCTGAAGTCCAACATCTGTATGAATGACCCCCGTAAAACTGAGAATAGGACAGAATCGTTCTTCTCCAAACCCCTTTCTATAAATAGCCTTTTCCCAGCTTGGTAGTGCCCAATCCTCCTTTCCTTCCCCCAATCCCTTAAGCTGTATTAACAATCCATTTTTTGCCCTTTGCTCAGTCATAGCCTGACTGTGAACGTCTCAGTCACCCTGAAGTATTTGAATTGGACAGGGACCAAATGCTGCCACCTACGGAATGTCTTGGATGTCTTGTTGAATGTCTTGAAATTACTTTGATGAGAGAGTATTGAGAATCTTGGCATGGACACCACCACCACCTGGTGGCAGCATGCCTCAATTACAGGTTTGCTTGTTTTGAGTGATGCCAGGTATCTTAGAAGTTGAAATCTGGCACCTAAACATAGGAAAGAACTATAGGAAATGCCACAAGGGGACAGAATTTTAAGCCAAATAACTGAATCTCTAATTGAGGAATTTCAGGTATGAATGGAAGAGGTATTTTGGAGGCCAGCTCCAGTTGGCCCTGGAACCAAGGAAGAACTGAAAGCCCTAAGCCCTCAAGAGAGCTTCTTCCTAACACTTGAAACACAAGGAGGAGAATTAGCCTTTATATTGTCACCACCAAGCCTGTTTCCTAAGCATCTGAAATTGACAAGATGGGGAGAAGATTTTAAAGTTTATAAAGGACGCAGGATCATAGGGTTCAGAATTAATAGAGTCTATAGCGACCATCTTGTCCAACCCCCTCATTTTATAAATGAGGGTACTCAGAGATTTACACTGACTTACTCTGTCAGGACTTGAACACAGGTCCTGACACTGAATCCAGCATGCTTTTCTTTACACCACTGACTCTTTCAGTAATTATACTTCATTATTTCCTAAGACAGGAGATCAGATTGTTGAAGTAAATGGCATTGACTTCACCAACATGGATCACAAAGAGGTAAGATACATTTGCTGGAGGAGTTCATCCCTCTGAAGTTGTCTTCAGATCTCTTTATGCCCTCTCTCTCCTTCCCCTATTCTTTGCCTCTAGCAGGGAAAGCTGCTTTCCTAGACTTTGGCTGACCATTCTTCTGTCCTTGCAGGCTGTGAACGTGCTAAAAAGCAGTAGAAGCCTGACCATCTGCATTGTTGCTGGAGCTGTAAGTCAAAAATGACCCAGTGTTCCTCATGCTCTGCCCCTGTCTGGAGCCCCTCATCCCTCATGGTGTATCCATTGGGAAATGGACTGACTTGAAAGGGCTATTCACAGAACAGCTAGGTGGTGCAGTGGATAGAGCTCTGGCCTTGGAGTCAGGAGGACCTGAGTTCAAATCCAGCCTCAGAGACTTGACACTTCCTAGCTGTGTAACCCTGGGCAAGTCACGTAAGCCCTGATTACCTGAAAGAAAGAAAGAAAGAAAGAAAGAAAGAAAGAAAGAAAGAAAGAAAGAAAGAAAGAAAGAAAGAAAGAAAGAAAGAAAGAAAGAGTTGCTCAGGGTCTGCTTCCTTGCAGGACTTATCTAAAGTTTGGGAAGAATGCCCTTCCCTTTGCACCCCCATCCCACAGCTAAATATGGTCTGCTTTGAGAGGGAGCAGGGGCCCAATATCGTCCCCCACAATGACCAGTTGGAACTCTCAGACTCTCAGTAATAACCAGTTGGAACTCTCAGTAACCTGGGGATCTCAGCTGTCAGGGGAGGACAAGTGTGAGCAACGGCCAATATTTCTTATATATTTCCTAGGTACTAGGCACCAGGAATAAGAAAAAAAAGACAGTGGGTCCCTGCTCTCAGATGGCTTATTGTCTAATAGGAGGGAAGGGACATGTGCATAAATATCTATAATCAAGTCAAGAAAGGATTAAGGGCAAGTAGAGTTCAAACTGGCCTGAGAGATTCGTAGTGGTAAGAGAGAGAATCACTTCTTGTTAAGGAAGATCAGGAAAGACTTTCTGGAAGAGGTGGCACCCATACTTGAGACAAGAGAAGGTGATCACCAGGTAGGAGATGTGAAGGGAGTCTGTCTGTGAGAAGTGGATTGCTGGGCTCAAATGCATCAAGATGTAAGAGGGGCAGGTCTTGATCAGGAAATACTAAGTCTCCCAATTTAGCTGAAGCATGGGGTATATGAAAAGAGGAAGACGAAATGACACTGGAACTAGAGAATGGATGACCTTGAATACCAGTATCAGGAATCTGTACTTTATTCAGTAAGCAATGGGGAGTCCCTGAAGGTCTCTGAGCAGGAAATGGCATGGCCTTGTCCCATACCCTTTCACATTCCCCCATGATTCTGTCCTGGGACCTCTAGTCTTCTCTCTCTTCACTATTTCTCCGGGTGATCCTACCTCCTCTCATGATTTCAGTGATCACTTCTATAAAACATACCTTACATCCTAGATCTTTACCTCTATCTTTCCTCGGGTCTCCAGTCTACCTGTCTAATTGGATATATCAACATTCATCCATTCATCTGGAAGTCATGCTAGTACCTCAAATTCAAACATGTCCCATACCTATCTCATCATATTCACAAAACCTGCCCTTTGCCCTAACTTCTCTATTTCTGCTAATGATAACACCATCTTTCTGGTCATGAAGGTTTGGAATGTTAGTGTTATTTGTGTCTTTTTCTTCTCCCTCATCCCCCATCCAATCATTCACCAGGTCCTATGAATTATGCCTCTAAAATATTTATCACATAATTCCCCTCTAAGCTTCAACCATAATCATCCTTATTAAAGATCCTTTTCTCACCTCAATTAATGAAACTATCCCCTACCTGGTCTTCTGCCTCTAGTTCATTCCCTGTCCTTACTATCCTTCTCAGCTTTGGCCAGGGTAATTCTCTTAATGCACTGCAACGAACTACTTTCCTTCAGTGGCTCCCCATTACCACCTATAAAACCTGATCCTAGGGTTCAATCTCTCTCTACCTTCTGGCTCACACCTACTTCTTCAACCTTATCTCCTACAATTTCCCTTCACAGACTGTATGTTCTAGCCAAGCTCAGCTCTACTCTCTTTTCCTGCATTCTTGTCTTTCTCCCAACTCCACATCTTTGCTCATGAAATCCTACATACCTCCATACTTCCTCTAATCTCAGTCATTTGAAGACCTTCCTTTAACTCAAGGCCAAATTCAGATGCCATCTCCTTCTTGAAAAAGATCTCCCCAACTCTCCCTTCCCCCTCTAGATAAAAATAATCCCTCCCTCTTCATAATTCTCATCACATTTGCCTGGCCTCTTTTTTGTACTCATCTCACTTTCTCTGTTTGCATCCATGTCTTTCATCCTATAAGCTCTTAAGTCTTTGGTGAACAGAGTCTGACTCACAGCTATTTTTATATCCCCAATATCCAGTATAATAGGCATAAGCACAGTGGGCAATTAATAAATATTTTTTGAATTTGAATCAACCAACAAGCATTTATTAATCACCTACTATATGGCAGGTACCATGCCAGGTAATGAGCATACAAAGACAGAAATGAATAGTCCTTGCTTTCAAGAGGCTTACATTATACCAGATGGTCAGACTCGGTAATTTGTAAATCTTAATATTCAGAATGCAGCTAAAGTTCTGCCACCATGTGTATGGATTGAAGGGAGAGTGCCTAAAGGCAGAAAACCCAGTTAGGAGACTGTTAAAATAGTCACAGCTAGAAGTAATGAGATCGTAAAGTAGGTGGTAAGGAGTGGGGAGGAGAGGAGAGGTGATGGATGTGAGCCAGTGGCAGGAGTTTAGAATCCAATTGTATAAAAGGTAGAGAATGTGAAGGAGGAAGATAAGTCAAATAAGACTTCACCATTTCAGGTCTGGGTAACTGGAAAGGTGGAAGCATCAAGAAAGACAGGGAAGTTAGGATAGAACAGGTTTTAAGAGAAAAGTGATGATGAGTCAGGGATAAATAAAACTGCTGACAACTCCATGGCCTGAAGGCTTAAATCCATCCTTATGTCCCTCCCTATCCCGTGGGTTTGGACCAATGATAACATTTTGAAGTAGGGAAGACTGGGGTAGTATGAATGCCCATGGGATTGGGAACCTGGGAAGGCATTCTACCACAAGCTGATCACCATGGAATTGAACAAATTTCTCCTTACACTGAAAGGGCCGGGAGCTCTTCATGACGGAGCGGGAGCGACAGGCAGAAGTGCGACAGCAGGAGCTGGATCGGCAGGAGCTGATGCTGCAGAAGCGTCTGGCAATGGAGTCCAATAAAATCCTCCAAGAGCAGCAGGAGAAAGAGAGACAGTGAGAACAGAGGGCCCCGGGGCAAAGGCTAGGGCTGGGAGCAGGAAATGACATGCTCTTGTCCCATACCCTTTGACGTTCCCCCATGATTCTGTCCTGGGACCTCTTTTCTTCTCTCTCTTCACTATTTCCCTGGGTGATCTTACCTACTCTCATGACTTCAATGATCACTTCTTTAAAACTACCCACTCCTGTCCTCTTTATCCACCCACCCCAGCCCCCTGCCCTTGCTAACAACTATTCAGAATTAAGCAAAACAAATCCCCCGTTGTCATTGTCCAACAACATGTGTCTCATCCTGTAGATTTGGTCCACTGCCTCTGTCAGGAGGCCCAGCATTCTTCATCATCAATTGTATGGAATCACTTTTGATCATTGTGTTGATTAGCATTCTTCCAAAGCTGTTCATTTCTATAATGTTGTTTTTATCGTATAAATTGTTCTCCTGGTTCTACTCATTTCGCTCTGCATCAGTTCATACAAGGTTTTCTAGGTTTTTCTTTTCTGAAACCATCCCCTTCATTGTTTCTTGGAGCACAATCATGTTCTATCCCATTCATATGCCCTCATTTGTTCAGTCCTTCCCCAGTTGATTGACACACCCTTTAGTTTCCAGTTCTTTGCCACACCAAAAGAGAAGTCACAAATATTTTTGTACACGTGAGTTCTTTTCCTTTTTCTTTTTCTTTGATCTCTGTGGTGTGTAAACTTAGTAATAATGTTGCTGGATGAAAAGGCATGCACAGTCCAGTAACTTTTGGGGCATAGTTCCAAATTGCTTTCCAGAATAGCTAGACCAATTTACAGCTCCATCAGCAGTGCATCACTGTGTCTGTTTTCCCACAATCTCCTCAAAATTTATTTTCCTTTTTCATCAACTTTGCCAATCTGATCTGTGTAGATATAATCTCAGAGGTGCTTTAATGTGCATTTCTTGAATGATTATTCATTTGGAGCATTTTTTAATATGGCTACACATAGCTTGTATCTCTTCCCTGAAGAAGCAACTGCCTGTTCATATCCTTTTAGAAACTGGCCTGTTTTTCCCTTTTCAAGCAGTTTTTTTTATTTACAACCACAGGCTGAAATTTTTTTCCCTTGAGTTATTTGAATTTCTTTTCTATATTAAATTAAATCCCCAGATTAATGCACCATCATATGCAAGTATAAAGCCAATCAAAAGTGAGTCTGCCATATTCAATCAACAATCAATTAATTAAGCACTTATTAAGTACCTACTATGTGCCAGGCACTGTGCAAAGCCCTAGAAGTATGAAGAGAAAGCAAAATATTCCTGTCCCATCTTCCAACTCTATTAGAAACTGAATCTGGAGGCATTAGCTTTCTATGGAGGAAGGGGTTGGTGACAAGGAATATCCAGACATTAACCAAACATCTTCCTTGGTTAATGTTGGTTGGATTGTCAATGATCGTGAGAGATGGTGGTCATTTAATCTATCTCTCTACCTGCAGGGGGCATAACTAGCCCAGGCCACGCAGAGAGGAACGTCAATTTTGAAACCACTTAGGAAGGAGATTTTAGCCTCCTTCAATGAATCTCTAACCAAGCTCCCAGGCATCTCTACTTACTGTGGCTATGAGCTGAGATCTTTACTCCAGGGAACAGTCAGAAAGCTATTTCCTGTCCCTCTCCCCTACACCAGACCCATAAGACCTCCTCCTCCTTGGGTCCCAGGTGATGGGACCAAATCCAACTCATTTTCAGTTATGACAGTTCATTTACTTTTCTTATTTGGAATGTTGTCTACCTTCCAGCAACCCCAAAGCCTGAATCTGCCCAGATGGTCCCTAGAGGAAAATCTTGAGAGGGGAGAGCTTGCCACTCTCTTCATGTGAAGAGTTAGATCAGCATAAGATGTTCTAGAAATGCCAACCTGGGCTTGTCTTTCAGGAGGAAGAAGGAGATTGCTCAGAAGGCTGCAGAAGAGAATGAGAGATATCGGAAAGAGATAGAGCAGTGAGTTCCTTTGGCACTTTGTATGCATGTATGTCTGTGTCCCCGCGTGAAGGTAGGCAAGTAGCCTTAGTCAGGTGTCTAGAGAATAGGCATCTGGTCTGAAGGTGCCTGGTTTCAGTCTGGAGTTAACGGTGCTCTCTGGAAGCCCTACATTTAATGATTAGTCAGTGTTGTGGTGGAAAGAGCTTTTGAGCTTAGATTTGTGAGATGTGAGTTCAGATTCTAGTTCTACTCCTTGCTACTGGAAGAAGTCATTTGCCCACTCTGAACCTCAGTTTCCTCATCTGTAAAATGAGAGAGTCTGACTGGATGACTTGTGAGGTCCCTTCCAGCTTTATCCATCCACTAGTGGAGAACCTGGTTGGCTAGTCTGTTTTAGGTTGTGATTTGCCTATAGGCTTCCCATTGATTGGGTGATGGGCCAAGTGAAGAAAATTTGCTTGGTTCAGAATCATCTCAGACTAGGGAATCTGAAAGAAGAATCTATTTATATGGAATATCCAGTTCAGCCATTAGCCAAACCTTTCCCTTGGTTCATATTGGTTGGATTGTCAACAATCATAAGACATTTTATGTAGGATTGCACCAACTGTCAGTTGGGGAACAGCCAGGCTTACCTGGTGCCCTGCAAAAGGACAATAAGGAGAAGCTGCTATTTCCTATCTTCTCTGGGACAACTGAGACAGAATTGCAGAGCCTAACTCTGGAAGATGGAGGAAAACACCTAAGAGTTTCTCCTCTCAGATTGGGGAGGCGAGTAACTGAATACTGGGCTAGATGTACTGGCCACCTCTGTCCTGACTGTCCTTAGGACTGTGCTGTGTGCTGGTCACCTGGTTATGGACAGAGGATCATGGTGGGCACAGGAATAAGGACAATTCACGCACCACAACTCACCCAGTTCCCCTGTGTGCTCAAATCTGCCCCTCACAAGTATAACTGGAAACATGGTCCATGCTATACTTTGGGTTTTTTAAGCATTTATGTATTAGATTATCTCTACCATGTCCTGGTCTGACAGTGATTCTGATCTGGGCATTGGGGGAAAAAGGAAGGATCCTCAAGTTAGAGTGAGGGATCCCAAGAAGCAAGGAATGATTTGTTTTATCTCTTTTTGGAGAGTCACAGACACACTAACCCTCACCTTGATTGGGCAAAAGATCCTCCTACTCATCTTACTAACTTAGAAAGGTGCTAGTTCCTAAGGGCATTAAGACTCAGATTTAAATTGAGAGATGGAAGAGTTAAAATTACTGCCCCTCCTCCCCCCCAAAAAAGTGCCACCTCCTAAGAGCAGCTTATGTGATATTGTCACTTTGCAGTTCTTCCCAGATGTTGTATCTCATTACCACATATCTCAAATAAGATGCTTCAATAACCCAGCTCCTTTGTGTTTAAACCCCATATCCCTCATTAGCATGTGTCCCAGATTCAGAGCTGGAAGAAAATTTGCAGATCTGCTAGTTAACTATTCCATTCTACAAATGGGCAAAGTGTGGCCCAGATAGGGGAAATGCCCAATGTCATGCAATGAATGATAAAACTGGACCTAGAATCCAAGCCTTTCTCAATTCCCTTTCCACCACACCATGCTGTCCTAGTTGTCTATAAAGATTCAGTGCCAAGAATGTCTACAGCAATGAAAAAATATGGCTGTCACAAGGAATTCAATTCAATTCAATTCAACAGACTTTTATTCAAAGTACCCACTATGTGCCAGATATTGTAGCAGGTGCTGGGTCTGCAAAGACAAGGATGAAACAGCCCCTGCCTTCAAAGAGCTTACATTCTGTTGAGTGGATTCAACCTGTCTATAGATAAGTGAATACCAGGACAACAAGCTCCTGAGATATGGCTTCTTGAATATAACGTAATTTCTCTACCGGCAAAATTTGAGCTGCTTAGAATAGGAGATAGAGTGCTAGGTATGAAGGCAGGAAGACTCAAATACAAATCCTACCTCAGACACACAGTACCTAGACAAATCGCTTAATCCCCTCTCAGTTTCAGAAACCAGCAGAAAAGCTCTCAGGGTGGCATGGTGCTGTGGAAAGGTCAATGCTGTGGAGCCAGAAGACCTAGGTTCAAATTTGACCTTATCTAGAAAATGGGAATAATAATAATAGTACCTATTTCTCTGAGTTGTTGTGAGGATAAAATGAGATAATATTTGTAAAGTGTTTTGCAAACCTTAAAGCTCTATAGAAATGTTAGTTATTATTATTGTTATTATTTGGAATAATAGTAGTACTTATCTTTGTATTTGCCTGTGCCCAGCATAGTATATAACGGTGCCTAACAGAAGAAGTTAGAGATAGAGACTGGAGTTTTGATCTCATTGCCATGAGAGCTCCCAAATGAAGGAACTCCCATCTACCAATAAAGCGCAGCACTTTACAGTCTTAGAGGGTTGCTGTGGAGGGAACTAAAGGGTTAAGTAACTTGTCTAAGGTCACAATATGTGTCAGTGGTAGAACTTGAACCTAGGTCTTCTGGCTCCATTGCTTACCCCATCCATGATTCCATTCTGCTTCTAATGGCACATAGTAGGTGCTTAATCAATACTGGTTGAATTAGATAGGATCCTTGAATCTGTATGTCTAACCCTGATATGGTCAAGTCAATCACGGTGGCGTTTTGGTCACAACAGTTCCCAAAGGGCAGAGCCTGTTGGCCTGCACAGTCTGGCGGGAGAGGAGGATGGGAGGCTCTCAGTTTGCCCAGGTCACCCAGGGTGGTCTTGTTCCTTTAGGATCACAGAAGATGAAGAAAGGTTCAAGAAGCAATGGGAAGAAGAATGGGGCTCAAAGGGCCAGCTACTGATGCCTAAGACCGTCACAGCTGAGGTGCACCCTCCACCGCCACGCAAACCCAAATGTAGGTAATGAGGGAAGCTTAGGCAGGATGGTGGGGAAGACAGTGGGGAGGAAGGAGGAGAATCCATTTGTCTCACACGTTCCCAAGAAAGACTTAAGAGAGTCCTTGGGAACAGCCATGGTTTGGCTTCCCTCACTGATTTCCAGGGACACCTCCGTTGTTCTCCAGGTCTCTTCTTCCAGGTCCTGAAGCAAACCTAGTGTGTAGGTAGACAACGTGCCTAAAGCCTCTGATGTGTGCCAGGCAAGAATGGGGTCCTATGCATCTCCTATCCCACTTTTAATTTTTTTTACAAACCTATTCTAGGGTCATTTGCACACTGGTAAACCATATGGAAAGGAGTGAGGGTGGTAGGGGTGGTCACTGAAGGCAAAGATTCATAGTTCTCTCCTCCACAAATGGCACCACAAGATTTTAGGGCCCAGTGAGAAATCTTGGTTCCTCAGTTAGTCATAGTGTCTTCTCTTGTGCAGCTTCTACCGTGGGGCTAGAAGTGAACAAAGGAGTAGAACCTTAGAACCTCAGAACCCAAGGAGTAGAAAAGATCTGAGGATGCAATAGAAGTGAAAGGGAGGGGCAGCTAGGTAGCACAGCCTTGGAGTCAGGAGGACCTGAGTTCAAATCCAGCCTCAGATACATGATACTTACTAGCTGTGTGACCCTGAGCAAGTCACTTAACCCCGATTGCCTCACCCAAAAAAAAAAGGAAGTGAAAGGGAACAAATATTTGTATAGCACCTACTGTGTGCCAGGCACTAAGCGATTTACAAATATTATCTCACTTGATTTGTTGTGAGGACAATAATCATGCGAGGTAAGGGCTGTTATTATCTCCATTTTACAATTGAGGAAACTGAGGCAAACAGGTTTAGTGACTTGCCCAAGGGTCACACAGCCAGAAAGTGTCTGAAGCTAGATTTGAACTCTGGTCTTCCTGACTCCAGGCCCAGCACTCTATCCATTGCACTACCTGGCAGTCTAGAAAGAGCATTAGCCCTGGAGCCCTAGAAATCAAATCTGAATTCAGACAGCCTTTGTGAAACAGGGCAAGTCACTGCATCTCACTGGGCTTCAGTTTCCTCATCTGCAAAATGAGGAGGTGAACCCAATGATCTGTCTCTAAGGTCCCTTCTATCTCTAGGTCTTTAATGTTATGCTCTCTTGGGTTCATACTCATCCATAGCACAGTGTTTTCATGATGGAGGAGGTGCCTAGTATCTAGAAAAATATTTGTTCCTAAATGTCTGTCTAGCTTCCTATTCACATGTGGGTCTTCCCTCTGTGTCTGTCCTTAGCCCTCAAATTGGCTTTAGCTCTGCCTATTCACTATAAACTGACCTCACCCTGACTTCCTAGGATGAGCAGAGATGTCCAAATCCACCTCAGGCTAAAGCTGGGGTCTCCTTCATCCCTGTAGTCATTCAGAAAAATCATTCAATGGCATTTCCAGCTCAAAAGGGACTTTTCAGAACTTTGGAGACTAGAAAACAGGAAGGAAAGTTTGGGAGCAAAATGCAACTTTGATTCTTGTCAGCTTCATAGAAATCTTCCAAGACTGCTGGCTAGGATTTTATTCTTATCCTGCAGCTATGAATAATATTATTTTTAGTTGTCATGGGAAAATCCCAGCCTTCTACAGACTCAGGGCCCTCCTCAGGGCCTGGTATGAGCTTGGCCCCAGGAGCTTGGGTTGTACGTCTCTAAGACAGCTGCTCCTCATGTGATATGCTCAGTAAGGCTGTCCCCTGACCCTAAAGTATAGCCTAACCCTTCAGAGTCCACTGTCTCACAGGTGCATGACAATGAGGACTGAGGAGGGCTGTAATGGATTGTAGAAGACCCATAGCACAGAGCCTCCTGATAATGGATTGGCTTCATCTCTGAAAGACAAAAACTCTATTCAGAAGCCTTACACCCAATGCTGTTTGCTATTAGTTGAGGATGTGGCCGGAGATAAGTTTCAGATGAATGACTTACTCTCAAGACTTAGAGCTAATTTACTTTTATGAGTGAAATGAGAGCTTTAATAGAGAAGAAATCGATTTTAATTGGTTCCCAGGAAGGTAATCCTAGGTCAATTCAGTGCCTTCGTCTTAGAGACAGTCATGGCTCCTACACAGACATGCCCTGCCAAGAACCAAATGAAAACCCATTCACTGGCCATTTGTTTGTTAAGATTTCTAATCAAATCAAGCTTTTCTGGGGAAAGGAAAGGAAAACAGAGTGGTTTTTTTGGTTTGGTTTTAGGGTTGTTGGGTTTTTTTTTTCGCTGAGGATAAATGTTTTCTAGAGCCGTAAACAAGAGTTTCAGCAGCTGCTTCCTGCAGATTGCTGATGTGAGCTAAGATACCATGCCCAGCCATCCATCTCCAAGAACATCACCCACTTGACTCCAGCTTGACAATAATTCAGGAAATGTAGTCATCCAACTGGACCTGCTCAGTTCATCCCTTTCTCCTTCCCAACACATTCCAATAAGGCCACATATCCCCAGCCTTAATCACAATCGTTGGCCCTGGTCCAGGCTCTGTGAGTGAGCAAAGGCACAGGTGTGGGTGTGTGTATGTGTGTGTCTGGGGAAAAGCAAGAATTATAAGGGATCTAAAACCTAATTGTCCTAGACTATAAGCATAGAATTTAAGCTCTTTGAGGAGAGCAACTATTTCTTTTGTTTCTAGTTGTGTCCTCATCACCTAGTAAGGTGCCTAGCACATAGTAGGTGCTTAAAAACTGCTTGTTGAATGACTGACTGAATGAATGAGTGATAAGTTTACTCCTATTTGGTAGTTAAGGATGTATATACCATTTTAAGGGCCAACAGCTGGGAAGGGGGTCTGCTCTCAGCCTCCCCTGAGGTTTTCATAGCTGCCTCCGCCAGGTATCCAACTAAGCCTTGTCTGACTCAGCAGGAACAAAGACATTTCTAGGGAGAGCTGGGTACCAGCTTCCATTAGGAAGTTTTCCCTTCCCCTGGAGGACGGATGTTAAGAGAGCCTGGGAGCCCACCTCCTGTCTCCAGAGAGGTGATCAAACAAGCCATCTAGGTTGGATGGTGTCTACTCTCTTCCTGAGGAGCTCTCAGGATGGAGACTCACTCATTTAAGCATCAATTTAAAATCCTATTGGTTACTAGTGTTGCTCTCCCATTATTCACTCCTCTTCATAGCCCCCTCCCCAATACTCTTCCTTCTCCTCCAGCCCCCAAGGTTGCCCATTCTCTACATGTAGGAAACAACTCAGAATGCGCCTTAGGGAGAGAGAACCCTTGGGTCTGGAGACCGTGGGCAAGTCACTGTAACTCCTCAAGCCTTTGCCTCCTTACCTGTAAAATAAGGAGACTGGACCAGATGGCCTCCGAGTTCCCTTCCTCTTGCTCTCTGCATCAGTGTTAATTACATCCACCATCTTCAGATCTCCTCCTGTCCTCCAGCTCCCAAGGCTATTTCTCATGCATCTGAGGACTGTCATCCTCTAAAAACTGGTAGAGTTCGTATCTTTCTTCCTTCCAAGCAGGAAAATAATCTGTGAACGGTTAAAAAACAAAACTTCCATGACCCTGCACTGAATGAGCAACCCAGCCTAGAACTAGAACCCTAGATTCTCAGCTCCAATTTCCCATTCCTTAATTCTAACCCCATGGCTCTTTTGGAAACCCATGGTTGCAGTGTCCCCTGTGTGCCTGAAGCAGGTTTTCTTCCCTGCCCCCTCCAGGCCACCCTGAACTATCTCTGGAGTCCATTCCTCCTCATTTCCTTCCTCCTCTGTTTCCCTAGTAGACGAAAAGGGAGTGGAGTCTCCACCACATGCTGACGATGACCTGAACGGAGGGGCCAAGAATCAGCCAGTGCAGGTTGGCAGTCCCTGCTTAGCTCCCCACCAGCCTGATGCTAATGCTTGCTGCACCTCGCTTCCTCCTGACAGTCAGCTTGGACCCTGGGCCTCGGGGCAGGCAGCATATACTAACTGGTAATCCAGTTCAGTGGCTGTCCAGCCCTGTGGGGGAGAGGCAGGCAGAGCAGATGAGGTGGGCCCTGCCTGGAAGATGCTTCAAAGTCCTTGTTGGGTCCGTCATCCTAGGCCATCCTACCTTCCATAACAAGGGGTCTGGATGCTGTCCCTTTGGCAAGTCTCTTTCTCTAGGCTACAGACAGTGACTGCATGGTCTTTAAACCACTTCAGGAAAGTGTCCTTGCACCCCGTGTCCCAGCCCCTTCACTCCACCCTAATTACAATTCTTATTGGTAGTGTCATAGCCGGGGACCACCTGACCAATTTGTAAGTGGCCCTTTACCCCTCAGATCTGACTCTGATCATCGTCCTTTCTTTAAATGTTGAAAAATCACTGTAGAGGAAACCAAGGAATTTTGACCTGTGGTGTGCAGGACCCTGACCGTTCTCAAGTGCATTCATTGACAGTGGGATGTAGAGCCATCTCTTGGATCAATGGCCCGTCTGGTGGAGGGTCAGGGAGGGAGTTGTTTTTCTTTTCATCACCCTTTGTATTTGCTGCCTGGCTCTGGTTTAGAGGATGAAACACAAATAATCTTCCAATATTTAGTCTTTGATCTCCTGGCACCTACATCTGATGCCAGCCATAGACAACTGAGCAGGGCTTTGGCCCCATGACAAAGAGCTCTTTCAAGTAGTTACGCTGGGCCAGGCTTGCAAACCAGATATTTTTAGGTGAGTTCAAGGGCCATAGTCAGAGGCCATGCTTCTGTTTATCTGCTGACACTATGCCCACTACTCTTTATGTTACACGTGTTGCAAGTTCCCTTGAAAACAAATTTCCAGCAGTTGCCGATGGATGCGTTCCGACCACTCTGGACAACATCTCTCTTACCGCCTTGTTCTTTATTCCTAGCTTTTGGGTGGTTTTATCGGTACGAAGGCAAATTCCCAACCATCAGAAAGGTAGGGGTGGACGGAGGGCCAATTTTGCTGTGGAGTCTGGGGATTTCAAATCAACTTTCTTTTCTCTTTCTTATAAATGGCAACACCCTATGGGCCCACTTTGAATATTCTCCAGAACCCTCCTTCCTCTGAATGGTTTGCTGATGATGGCTGGGGATATCACTGAGGCTGATAAGGGGTTCATATGTAACCATTAACAACTGACATTGCAGAAGTGTGAATCATGTTCATCAAGCTAACATCAGTGTTAATTATGTGGAGGTAGGTGGTATAGTGGAAAGAGTACTGAACTTGGAGCCAGAATTCAATCCTAGCTGTAGGACTTTGGACAAGGCACTTAACCACTCTCACCCTTGGCTTCTTCATCTGTAAAATAATAGCACTTCACAGGGTGATTGTGAGAATCAACTGAATTAATATACCTAAAGTGTTTTACAAACTTTGAAGTGCTCTATGTCTCTGGACTTATTTTTATTATTATTCTACCTCTATTTACCCCCACTGTTTACCAGGCCTGTATCCTGATGAGAGCAGGGACCAGGGTGGCATGTGGGACTCTGGATTTTTTTCCTCAGTAGAGCAAGACTGGAAGCAGAGACCAGACTGGAGGCAGACAAAGAGAAATAAATCCTAAGTAACAGGCTATAAACTGTAGCGGGGTCAGAGCTGTGGCAGCAGGCCAGATTATGGAGACCCAGAAAACTTGTGTGCCAAAGCCGATGTACTGGAGACATCGAAGCCTCTGTTTGGGTGTATCATATTAAAGGCCCACCCTAAAGCATCTCTCCTGTTATTAATTAAGTCCTTTAATTTTATATCCCAATATTATTGGTCAATGTCTGGCTCTTAAAATTCTATTGACCTTTTTCTTTCTTTATTCTTCCAACACCAGATTAGGGAAATGTTTCTGCTAATATCAATGACACTGAGTCAACATGACTTGTTATCTGAAAATTGCATCCCAGTGAAAATTAGGGCATGCTTCCTCAAGAAGGCTGCCTTCCAGAAACAGAAGCTCTGGTACCTCAGTGACCCTGAGCAAGTTACACAATATCTCTTCCCCCTGCACCTCGGTTTCCACATCTGCAAAATGGAAATATCATATTTCCTTAAATAATTTTGCTTATTTTTTTTTGGCAAGGGGAAGAAGACAAATAATTTATGTTTAAAATAAGAATTATTCCAAATCTAGACTAACTAGGGGAAAGAAAGGGATAGTTGAAAGCATAGTCCTTGATTCTAGATTACAGACCCAAAAGTCTTGATATTCTGCAGCTACAGACAAATGTGGTATACTCTGTCCTAAGGTCTGTGGAAATTCACTGCCTTCCCCTTGGCCTGACATGACTAAAAAGTCAAGTCACTGCATTTTCAACTGTGCACGCTAGAATTAAACCCTCCAAGAGAACAGTGGTCATTTCAAAGTAGTCTCCTCGGGGGCCGTGCACATATTCCAGCAATGCTGACAGTGTTCAAACTATTCCTGGACTCTTCTGGAATTGCCATCAAGGCTCACAGCACATTCTTTTAAATATCCCTATTGGTAAAAAAAAAAAAATACTACTCCTCTTTTGGATGGATTTGACTTTTGGAAATAGCCAAAAGTCATTCAGAGCCAGCCTAGTCTGGTGACCCAAAATGGGATTGAGCAATGTAACATCTAGAGATGGAGTTAAACAGAAATGCTTTATGATGGGCACTCAAGAAAATGAAAAGGGGTGATCCTTTCTGGGGTCTAAAACTAAGGGAGCCTATAAAGTGATGTGAGCAGGAACCACACAAAAACTGAAGAGGAAGCTCTAGAAATGTCTGTGACCCCTTTGAATGAAGTTGAATGAAGGAGGAGGGATAAGGCTGATACAGACATTTGGGGGACACATCAGCTATCCCTTTGTCTGACTCCTCTGACTAACAGTGGGATTTCAGTCCAGTTGCATATTCCTGGCTCAGAACCTGAGCAAGTGCAAGGAAGATGCTCATTTTCGGAATTAGTCAAAATCTGTCACTAGAGCGATTCAAACACAGACTTCATGAACCCCTATCAGGGATACTGTTATCAGGCAGGTAGTTGAAGTAGGTGATCTCTGGGGTCCCTTCCAACTGAGATTCTGTGATCTGCCACCTAGTACCCTCCTCATTTTTGGTCCATGCTTCCATCTATACCTCTCCTATGAGCTATTTCCTTCATCTGTGTGCTGTGGAGTGATCTGGATTGAACCTGTCTTTCCCCTCCCCATCAAACCCCTCCTCCCTCTGGAGGTAGCTTCACCCACCCTCAGACCCTCTGGGAGAAAAAGCTAGCAAGTCTACCATTACTGACTTCATTGGGATTTTTTACTTGCCCCCGATCACCTACTAAAAATAAAAACTTCGAACCTAACCTTTCTGAGTAAAAAGAAGCCCAGGACCTCTCAGCTCTAACTTAGCCTCATTGCTGCTTTTTTCAAATTCTCATCCACTATCTCCAAACCCTTGTTGCTTCAAGTGGAAAAAACTTTAAGTTTTTCACTTGAATCCAGGAGAGATAAACTGAGTCCTCAGAGACAGGAGGGCAGTTCTGTCATACAAATGCAAATATATGGCTTTGGCCCATTCCACCCTTCTCTTACTGAGGTCAGAAGCTCCTCTTGGCCAAGGTTTGTCAACTCTCCCGAATTTCCTGGGCATCTCCTGCATTTATACTATAGGAAGAACACTGCCTGAGGCGTTTACTAGATGTGTAACCCTGGGCAAGTCTTGTACCGTCTTTGAGCTTCCTCATCTGTAAAATGAGATGGGGAGGATTAGGTGATCTCCACCATCCAGCCCTATGTCTCTGGTCTCTGTAACCTCTCTGGCTCCTGGACATTAAGTATTGTTCCTTCTGATAAACCAAGGAGCAGAGGAAGTGGCCAGAGCTTCTCCCAGAGCTAGGATGTACATGGTCCTTCTAGCCCCTGCTTCCCTATAGCCCTGTGGTTTGTACAAAAGGGAGTGAGCCGAGGGCCGGGCCCTAAACGGTCGGGAGAGTCCATGCTTGAGGGTTTGGCTGCTGTGTTTGCGGTGATGGCTGCCCTTTTAGAGTGGACACCTCCCTCCCGTGTGCTGTAATGTGCTGGTGTACAAACCATACTGCACCCTCCCAGAAAGGGAAAGACAAGAAGAAATCTAAGCATGATAGCCTTCAGGAACTCAGGAAGCACCAGAAGGAAATTGAATTTGAGCAAAAGCTTTATAAGGAGAAGGAAGAGATGCTGGAAAAGGAAAAACAACTGAAGATCAACCGGCTGGCCCAGGAGGTACATGTCTTGCTTTTTGGTGCTGAGCTAGCCCTTCTAGGGACTAAATTCCTGCCCCTCCCCCAGAGCCCAGGTCTGAGGCTATCCCTCCTTGGAGTTGGTCTAGTACAGGGGTGGGAACCTGTGGCCACACATAGCCCTCTGGGTCATCAAGTGCAGCCCTTTGACTGAATCCAAACTTTGCAGAACAATTACATTTGGATTCAGTCAAAGGGCGGCACTTAACAATCTAGACAGCCACATGTGGCCTCGAGGCCACAGATGCCCCACCGCTGGTCTAGGATTTGTTCCCTAAACCATTCCCAGAATATAAGTCTAGCTACTAGTCTTAGCACCTTCCCCTTCTGACTAGAATATAGATCTGAGGTTATCCCACACCTGGCCAAGGTGTAGGCCTGAGGTTAGCCCCCCCCCCACTTAGGCATGCCAAAGTAGAGTTACATAGCAAATAACCCTTTTCTAGATGGGGTCTAGTGATCTTACTCCCCTGGCTCCTGAAAATAATACCACCCTGCTTCTTATTAACAGTTCTGGGAACTAAAATGCCAAAGTAAAGTGGAAAGAGCCCTGGATTTGGAGTCAAAGGGACTGTGTTCAAATCCTGACTCTTCTGCCTACTTACTTTGTGACTTTGGGTATATCATTTCTCTGGTCCTCATTATCCTCATCTGTAAAGTGAACAGCTTAGACCAGATGGTCTAAAGAGTCCCTTTCACCTCTAAATCTGTGGTTCTATGATCCCATGAGAGATCCTATGAGAGAACACAGTTCCAAGCAGTCTCTGTTCCCTGGAGGCCTTTTGAGAACCTAGTTCTTTGTGACTTAGAGCCGCATGTGGTTGGAAGGGGTGTATTTACAATCTTTGTGTGGTGGTCCCATGGCCCAGGTATCAGAGACTGAGCGAGAAGACCTGGAGGAATCAGAAAAGATTCAATACTGGGTGGAAAGGCTTTGTCAGACCCGCTTAGAACAGATCTCCTCTGTGGACAACGAGCTTTCAGAGGTAACAGGCCACTCTGTTCCGCATGCCGTGCTGGACACCCTTGCCTTCTGTGAACATACACTCGGCTGGCCCACTAGCTTCCCGTTCTCCTTCCTAGGGCTAGCCCCATTATAGCAGTAGTGCTGGAATGTTGCTCCCAGATCCGTGGGAGCATCTCCTCTCCCGGCTACCTATAGCCCCTTTCTCTCACCCAATCTCTGCTTACTGATAAAGTGCAAAGGAGCAGATGGACCAGGGTTAGCCCTCCCTCCCAGGGCTAATGGCATTTTCTATGGGGGCCATCGCCTTGCTCTGAAGGAGTAAAGCTATAATGGTGGAATTTTAGTCATTGGCAGCAGACTGAGATGAAGCAAAGGCAATTAGAAGGGAAGACTTTCTAAAACCCATCTGATTATCATATGTTGGCAGCTAAATGTCCTCTAAATCCCTTCCAGCTCTGAAGTCAGTCCTATGATGCTGGTCCACAGATTTAAGTTGGTCCAGCCCTTTTCTCATGAGAAACAGTTCTGCCATTCTTCTGAAGTCCAGTGGCTCACAGCCCCAGAAAGGATCCTTTTTGAAACCTCAAATGACTGCAAGAGAACAAATTAAATTGGGTTCTAGCTACCCAAAGCCTCCACGGTCCTATGTCAACACTAGTCAGTTCTGTTATCCCAGCTCTGCTAAGTTCCTTTCTTAGAAGCAAGCTACTTTCTCCTGCTGGTGAGTCTGTAGCCAAGCTCTAAATGACCATTTGGAGATGCTCCCCCAATACACACCCTAATTTCTTAAGTACCAGTTATATTTCAGCCACCACTTAACCACAGTGGCTGTTCTGCCCAAACGTCCCAGGAACAGCAGAAGTTCTAGGGCTACTGAGGCATTGACAGTGATCTGAGCAATATTGGTCCCATCAGTGCATGGTCTCTCCACCATCACAGGATTGGTGCTGCCTCCCTGGGGGCTATAGCAATGGCCTACGTCTCAACCATGACCTTGCAGAGCTGCAGGATACATAACTCCCAGGGCTGTGAGGCGGTCCATACTACCTGTGCCCACGTCAGTGTGGACACGGAGCATTAGCAGGCAGCGGTTACAACACACACACCTGCCACGCATCCTAATTGCCTTTGGAAATCATCCTGGTCATAGTCTTGGAGCTGCTAGCAGACAGAGTACCAGGCTTAGCCACAAATCCCTTGCTGGGGGCAGCTAATGCAATTTCCCACCTCGAATGGCCATGTGGTATCACTCTGTAATCACTAGAATCTGGATCTGATATCCACTACCAGAAACATATGCCATGCTTGAGTTAATTTAGTGAAGACTGTTCTGTAGAAGATGGCAAGGCCTACTGTGTGATCCCTAGGATGCTGATTTGAGTTTTTGTCCCCAGAAACACTGATATTCTAGCTAGATATCATCATCTGATCTGGGCGGGGCAAGTCCCTGCCATATCTCCCTGTTAAACTACACTGGGACTGAGAAAACCCCTCCGTGATTTTTCATTCCGCCAGATGACCACCAGTCCCCCGTCTTCGGTGACGCTCCTGGCCCCACCCCTGCGACGCTTCGCTGGTGGCCTACACCTCCATACCACTGATCTTGATGACATTCCCCTGGACATGTTCTATTATCCTCCCAAGCGCCCAGCCCCTCTACCGCTGCCTTCAGCGCTGCCTGTGATGCCCCACCCCCCAACCCCTAACCTGCCTTCCAAGGTCTCAGCACCCCCTGTCATTGTACCAGCTGGCCAGGCGTCCTCATCTTCCACTTGGGTGCGTCGCCCACCACCCCCCCTCCCTCCTCCTCCATCAGTTCCCACTCTGGACCTCAACCTATCCCGCTCACTGCCTTCTGCCTTGGAAGAGGCCCTGGTTAACCATGGTCTCCATTCTGGAGATTCAACTGAACCGGTGGAGGACTGGGAGCTAAAGAATTATAGTGGGAGGCCTGTGAGCTCCCCCCTCCCTGAACGAAGCTTCCCTCCAACTCCAAAGGTACACACTACACTTAGCATGGCATGCCTGGGAGACTGACTCTTGGCATTTCTCCTTTAGAGTACCTCTGAAAAGTCAAGAGAGGAAGATAGTGCCTTTTGTTTTCTTAAAGCACTCATAGTATCCGTATGTTGCTGTGTGCATGTTGCATGTTTATAATATGTACTGAGTGTGATGGGCTAATTCATCCTGGCAAGTTGTCATTCACTCCTCTCCCTGTGATTCTTGGAAGGGGCAGGCTGGTGTGGGCCGCTAACGTTTGGCACTTAACTTCAAGGCCATATTAACTAAGAGACAAAGCTTTATGGCCAATGTCAGCTACTTGTCACAGTCCAACAAGCTGTAAATATGGGAAACCACTCCCCAGTAAAAACAAAATACATAAAAACGAGTCTTAACCCTTCAAAGGATTAAGGTGGCTGAATTCCAGTATTAATACTAGAATTACATAGCTGGAAATATATTCCCCAAAAGTTTCTGGTTAATTCCCAGCCTTTGAATTCTTATTCAAAGGAAACTTTACTTGTGTGACCTTGGGAAAGTCACTTACCTCTGGGGGCTTCAGAGTGCCCATCTGTAAAATGAAGGGATTGGGTTAGGTCAGTGGTTCTTAATCTTTTCAAGCACCAGGACTCTTCCTTAATGCCAAATTCCACAAACCTCTCACAATGTAGTATTAGCATCTGGGAAAACACATGACAAAATCTCAATGTATAGATGTCTTGTAATAATTCAATAGACCAGGAATTACTAATCTTCTTTGTTTATTAGATTTCATTGGTAGCTTATGGACCCCTTATCACAATAATAAAATAAAATGAAATATATAAGATTACAAAGAAAATCAGTTAAATTGAAATACAGCTACCAAAATGTATTTTTTAAAAGTTTATGGACCCCAGGTTAGGAATACCTGCAATAAAATGAGCTGCAGGTTGGGAACTGTTGGACTAGATTCTTGGAGTCATATTCTGATGGAAAGAGATCCTTGTGGGCTCTCATCTTATTATTCATGTGGTTTTATATTTTTATTTATTTTATTAAACATTTCCCAATTGCATTTCAATCTGATTCAACCCCATTGGTATCTCTGGACTAGAGGCTAACTAAAGCCCTTTCCACCTCTAATATCCAGTAATTTTGAAATTTTCAAAATGAGTACCACAGATTCAAAGATTTCTTTTTTTAAGTCTGGGGGTGGTGGTGAATATGTTACATTTCTTAGAGAATAAGAGATAGTCAACTTGATTCTTTCAGTCATTCCTGAACCACTTTTGGCAAGCCAGATCCCTAGGGCAAAGACAAATAAATCTTCCAACTCATCCTAGAAGAAATTAAATGGCTCTCTGAGGTGCTCTCTGTGGCCTAATATCAGACCTGCCTTTACCAGCTAAGGGAAGGGGCTTCTTTTAGAGGTGTGTAGCAGCAACTTGTGGAAAGTTTTTAATTGATCCCTCCCTGCATGAATTTGGGTCCCTGCATGATCTGGATGATGATGATGATGATGATGATGGATGGCTGGAGGGAAGGATGAGGGTTGGTAGGCACACCATGTGTGGGACAAGCAGGAGCCAGTTAAGACAACACTGCTCTCAGGCAAATGACTCTAGACCTGCTCTTGCACAGCTCCCATGCTGGTGGGTAAGGATATGAGCCTGGAAGTCACAGCCCTAGGCTCTATACCCAAAGCAAGGCCAGGTAGAATTTTCTGGAAGGGTGGATTCAAGTGTGGCGTGGAGGGACAGATGCCTCCCCCCACTTTGAGGGTTGTCCTCATCCTTAACATGTTGTCAGAATAAGCAGGAGAGCTGCCCGCGTCAGATACAGCAGCGCCAATAGGAATGGTGATGTTCATATAGCAAGAGAGGATCAAAGTGACGCATTTATCCAAAGTCTTTAGGAGGATCTGTGCAGCCAGGTTGAATGTAGCAGAAACAGTCAAAAAATTGAGACCTTGGAGGGACCTTGGGTTTGATCTTAGAAATCACATAGTTCAATCTTCATTTTGTTGATCGAGGAAGCTGAGGCCCAGAGCATTGAGGTCACTTTGCCAAGGTCACACTTGGGCAGGAAAGGCAGAGCTGGGATTCTGACCCAGGTCCTGGAGCCCCAAATTGAGTTCACTTTACTACGATGACTGGGGAGTCAGGAGACTTAGGTTCCATCCTGGTTCTCCCACTAATTTGTATGACCTTGAGCGAGTCCCCTCCCTTTTCCATGCCTCAGTTTCCTCTACTGTCAAATGAAAAGGTTGGATCAGATTCATTCGTTCATTCAGCAAGCATGTATGAAGTAAAAAGTTCTCTATCCACTGAGCCAAGTAGCCTTTGTAAACAGCATTCAGGGATGAAAGACTTGCTTGATTCTAAGGCCTCAAGCATGAAGAGCAAATGGAGTTGCCAGGAGTAGAACCTAGGACCTCACATATGCAAAACAATACAAGATGCTTGTCGTAGAGGATAGAGAGCTGGTCTTTGGAGTCAGAAGGGCCTGGGTTCAAGTCTCCACCTCTGACACATACTGGCTGTGCAACCTTGGGCAAGTCACTTAACTCCCAGGGCCCTAGGCCACTCTCTAAGGTTACAAATTGCTCAACAGTTGTTAACCTGCATTGGCAGAAGAAATTTCCTCACTTGGAATTCTTCAAAGTCACAGGTGTTAGAGGTGGGGAGAAAAAAAAGAAAAGAAAGGTGTCCAAGGCACCATACAGGGCCCTAGAGATGCAAAGACAAAAATGAAACAATTTCTGTCCTCGTGCAGGCACGTGACCACACTGTGTTATGGCTTTAATACTCTAACATGTTTTCAACGAATCTCACTGAGCAAGGCTTCACGTCCCCAGAGAAACGTGTCTGAGTGATAGGAAGCCCTCCTCCCAAAGGCCTTGACTTTGGGGCTTCTCATCAGGACTCAGAGAAGCTTAACAAGCTTCTGGTATTAGAATCTCTGAAAGGCTGATAAACAGTCTCACTGTTTAAGTAGCTGGAAATGATTTTTTGGAGGGGGGAGATTGTTATACAGATTAAGAACAAAGGGTGATAGATGAGTTGGGCTCCATGCATATCTTCACTTTGGCCAAGAGCAAAGCTGTCTGCTGAGCCTTATGAGCCCTAGATATAGTCACTATGCCCTCAGGCTCAGGGTGCTGTGGATGGGCAATGGGCAGCCCAGCCAGAGAGCCCCTTAGCAGAGCTGTTGCCACCTGGACCATCTGCCTAATATTATATGCCTCCCATTGGGCATTTTTGTCAAAGCCTGACTTGTCACATTTTGCTCTATACCCCGTCTGTGGCTGGCGTCTCCCACAGGGAGATTTCCTCCATCCATAATCCTGAACTGCCCCAGGAATGTCTTTTTATGCATTATACTCCCCCAGCCCTTTTGGTCCCATCAGCAAACAAGCAGTGACCATATTGGTGAAGTCCTGCAAAGGTTATCTGAGTAGAGGAGTCCAGGAGTGCCCCGTAAGGCTTCTTTGGAATAGCCCCATATCCTCTCCCTTTATATTCTTACCCTGGGAGCTAAAAGCCCATTTAGGGATCAGTCTCCTGGTTGTAGTTCCTACCCATGTGATGGTGGGCAAGTCACTTCAACATTCTGGGCCTCAGTGTCCTCATCTAAGCAACGGGAGAGAGCGGCACTAGAGCACCACTAAAGAGAAACATTGAGGTAATGGAAATAGTACTAGACCTAGAGTCAGAAGATCTGGTTCAAACTCTCCCTCTGACACTATGTGATTCTAAGCCTCAGTTTTCTCACCTATAAAATGGGAATAATACTTGTGCCATCTAACTCACAGGAATGGTGTAAGGGTACTAAGACAATACAATAGAAGACCAGTGCCCTAAATTTGGAGTTGGAAGACCTGGGTCCAAATCCTGGCTCTGCCATTGATGACTCCTGCGATCCTGAGCAGGTCACATCAGCAACAGACTTGGAAATTAGGAAGACCCGGATTCAAATCCTGCCAAAAATATTTACCAGCTGTATCAGCCTGGGCAAATCATTTAAGTTCTTTGTGCCTCAGTTTTCCCATCTTTAAAATGAGGGGCTTAGATTTGATGGCTTCTAAGATTTCTTCCAGCTCTAAAGCTATGGGCCCTCAGTTCTCTTGTCTGCAAAACATTAGGTAAAAACTATATGCCAGTAATTAATTATTAATTAATAATATTATAAGTATACTGCACTTATTAATAATAAATTAATGATGTAAGTATAATATACTTATTAATAATACATTAATAATATTGTGTTTGCTAATGTCCCTTCTGTGATCCTCAGTGCCAGTAAGGGTAATAACTTTCCCAAGAAAGTTATTCTTGCCACAGCGGAGTAGAGGGGCCTTTCAGGGTACCCTCTTCAGGGGTAGGATTAGACTGGAGCTCAGCAGAGAACAGTCAACCACTGAAAAGGTGGCATTCAGCTCTGAAGATCCTCCCAGTAGCTTTGAACTCCCATCAAGACGTACTAAATGTGGCCTCTTTGAGGTCACCTTTGTACCTCTCTCTGTGCTATAAGAGTCTAGCCTCCAAGGGTAAGCAGGAGCAGTGACCTGGACTAGCTCTGTGGGTATGCATGGGCATAGAAGAGATGCCATCAGTGCTGTGAATGGGCCAGGCTGCCCCTGCAGCCACCAAGTGAGACTCTCTCTTGAATTGACCCCTCCTAGCTACTTTGTCCAAGTCCGATGCCCCCAAGAGGCCCCGGTGTGTCCACCATCTCCAAACCCGTCATGATTCCTTATGACTTCAACTTCGTTGGCAGGCCAGTGGTCAGATCCGAGGTCTTGGTAAGCCCCTTCAGTTCCCTATGTGGGCTGTACCCTCTGATCCAGGTCCTGAGATGCAGGCCACTGTCCTGCAGATGAAAAGAAGGCTCTGTTACTGTGGTGGGAAGGTTATAGCCCAATTCCAGGGAAAACCAGCCTATATGACCCACCATGATGGCCAGGAGCCATCACTCCCAAGTCCTGTGTGTGTGAGGATATGTTGGTGTGATGAGACCCGCTGTATGTTTCACGTGTTTGAAGATCAGTCCACTAAGCTTACATTGGGAACAGTCTCCTCTGTTAGCGATTCTAAATAATCAGAATCCTGACCTTGCCAGGGAAATGCTTACCTTAGTACTTAAAGAATCCGTGATTTTATTGATGTGAGTCCCTCCACTGATACAGGTCATGACTTGTCCACTTGAGTTAGATGATTTTCATGAGCTGCCATAGCCAAAAAAAAAAAATCTAACAAAAATAATCTTCATCACCAGGTAGACAACCCTTCGGCAGTGGCTTCTCTGAACTTATCTGAGTTGGTCCTTGGACAGTAGACATATGATCTATCACCAGGCCCATGATCAAAGCCTTTTTCATCTTGGTGCTATCCACTAGAGCCTTCCTTTTGCTGGCATAGTCATCCAGAATCTTGGCCCCTCTCCCCACCTTAAAAAGGCATCACTTTAGTGGCTGTCCAGAGAAATGCTTCAAGCAAATTTACTTCCTCTGTTCAATTTAACTTCACCAGTTCTGGGGGTCCCATGAAGACTGCAAACTCATTGAGGGCAGGGAGTATTTTGCTTTTGTCTTTTTATCTCCAATGCCCAGCACAGTGCCTGGGCCATAGTAAAATCTCAGTAAATGCTTGTTGAATGATGAAAGCCTGGATGTAGGTGCACCAGAGAGATAAGAGAGTACAGATGTACCTTGTGATCCTCCACCCCACTCCATCAGTGGTGGCCAGGGAACTGGGATCCCACTCACAGCAGCATTTATATGCCCCTGGTCTTAAATGGTTGTCCTACGTGTAGAATCACCCTACCCATGTGTATCATACATCTACAATCCTCCAGCCCCATGCGTATAGTGTATCGACTGGTTACTTACCCACTCAGTCTAATAAGATCAGTGAAAGCATTTTCTGCTTAACTTTCAAAGAAACCATACCCAAATGTCAGGAAAGGTTATGTATCATCACTTAGATTATTTTTGGTTTTAATTGTAGTATCAGCTTCCAGAGGAGAAAAGTTCACTCAGTACATGATAGCTTTTTTTTTTTAAACATAAGCCTCATGTTTGGCAATTAATTTAGTGATATCTCCTTCTTTTACTTACATAACTTTGGGCAGCTTTTGTGGATTAACACAAATCAGAGCCTGTAGCAAATCAGTCTAACCACAAAAGAAATCAGGCTTTGAACAAAGTAAGAAAATTGCCTTTAGGAGTGGTTGTGCCCTTGGCCAGGACCAGGAACCTCAGCAAAAGCTGTTGGGAGGAGGGGCTGCCCCTGAGCTAGGCCACACCCAGAAGGGTTGGGGAGTGGGCATCTGACACTAGGGGACAGGAAGGCCTTTATTTACACACTCACCAGTGGAGAGGGCCAAGTGGTTAACATCCAATTTGGCAATGTTCTTTTCTTTGGCAGCCGCAGGAGATGCTGAAGAGGATGGTGGTTTACCAGTCACCGTTCAGAAAAGTAAAAAAGCTCTACGTTTTCTTCTTCTTTCCCCAAGTGTTGCCTATCTTTCTGTCCAGATGGGATAGTCCTGAGCTATCCTAAATGCCCACTAATAAGGACCATTGGGATTCCCATGGCAGTCTTGGTCTGGCAGCCAAGATGCATTGGAGCCTCTTAGCAAAGGCTAGAGACCTCAATGTTCATTTCTTGTGAATGGTGGGAGACCCACAGCTATGGACGATATGGGGACAGGGAAGGAATACAATATATAGGCATGGGGGCGTGGAGAAAATTGACCTGCTGCTTCTGTCAAAGAGAAGGAAGACACAGAATCCCAGGGATTCTGTGATTCTAGTCCAACCTGAATAGGAATTCCTTCTACAATACCCCTAGATACCCCAACCTCCACTTGAGAAACTCACTACCTTGTGAGGAAGCCTAATCCATCTCTGAAGAGGTCTAGTGATTCAGAAATTCTTCCTTAATTTGAGCTCAAATCTGCCTCTGGGGACTGTTCATTCCTGCAGAAGCTCTGTTCTCTGGAGCCAAGTCTAACAGGCCTAATCATTCTTCCATATGACAGGCCACCGAGTACTTGAAAATTATGACCTTCCCCTAAATCTCTTTTTTTACACTAGACAGCTTCAGTTCCCTCAAATGATTTTCATTTTTTTCTGGTTTCTAGTTTCCTAGCTATCCTGCATGCCCTCTTCTGGAAGCAATCCAATCTGTCATTCATTACTAAAATACTCAGACAACTGAATACAATACTCCAGATAAGGTCTGATAACATGGCCTTCATCTCCTTTGTTTGGACACTGTCTCTGAGACTTCAGCCCCCATACCACTCAGGGCCTCACTCCGGGCTCTGCCCACAGACAGGACATCTCCTGACTTGGCATCCCCCACCAGCTTGGCAACCACTTCATGCATGCTAATATTACATTAGTTCAGGGGAGGGAGCAGGTTGCTATGTCTCACTGTTGACTTGTACTGAGCTTGTACTCCACCAGAACCCCCAGATCTTTTTCACAAGAACTATGAACTTGTGCTGTGGATGTTTCTAACCCAACCGTAGAGCTTTGCATTTATCTAAAGTATTTCTCCTTGGGAAATAGTTGGATTCTTGGTTGTTTCTTTCCTCAGTGAGCTCTTGCTGAGAGGCATCACCATCATTCCTTGCTATGAGTGAAGGAAGGTTGGGATTTTGTTGTTTGTGACCTGATCATCAGCTCTCCCTAATATGGCTTGAGCCCAATTGGCGGTGTCCACCTGTGATCCAGCTCTGACCTTGATGCTCAGAGACAGATAGCTGCTCTCAGAATCAGGACCTGATGTTTATCATCCTGAAACCAGAAGACCAATCTTGGGGCCATAACTTTTCCCTCATAGCCACTGAGTGAGGCAGGAGGAAATGAGTTGTTTAAAAGAGAGTCATGGACACTGATGGGTAATATGAGGAAAAGAAATTCTGAAGCCAGGTAAATACACAAAATGAAATGAGCCAATGAAACAATTATTGGTTGACTACTATGTGAAGGAGGTAACAGGAGTGTTATGAATGGGCTGCCCCTGTAGCCATCCAGAGTTGACTCAAATTGTCATCAAATTGACCAAAAATATGAATAGATGTTGATTAAACAGAATGTCTCACTTCATCAATCAAAGAAGCATCTCTTTTTGAAATGAAAGGCAAACCTCCCAGGAGTTCTCTGTATCCCTTTGAAAAACCTTTTTGGAGACCGAGAACATTTGTGTATGTATGTTCACACATCCACACACTAAAACTGGGCTACCATCAGTCTACATTGTCACAGACTCAACTCAACTGTGAAAGGCTTTGTGGATTCCTAGTAAATAGGACAGTTCTTTCCTTGCACTGAATTATGAGAAAGAATAGAGGTATTCCCCTCCCCTTCCCTTGCTTCCCCTCTCTGATCATAGAATGCCAGAGACCTCACAGACCATCTACTTTAACACTCACTTTACAGATAGGTTCACACAGTCAGTAGCAGAGCCAAGACAAGAATCCAGGTCTCCAAACTTCCAGTCCAGGGCCACACCTCTCTGCTGCTAAATCTGACATTAGATTTATGGATGATTCTATGGGGCCGTGCTTTCTCAATTACACCACATGCTTCCACTTGGATGTCTGTTTGCACATCAGCTCTTCTTCTGGCCTCATTTATTTCTAAACCCAGACACCTGTTGCCTGTTTGGTCAGCAGCCATAATTGCCAGCACCCAGTGATTCCTCCCCATAGGCTTTTTAGTCCTCTGCTGAGGTGTTTATCCCTTCCTTCTTGATCCTCTCTCCCATCAAGTCAGCCTCAACTCCTTCCAGAGACCTCAACACCGATAAGTTTCACCCCCTTAAGAAATAGGCTAGCCCCAGGTTAGGACAATTTTTTTCTTCTCTATTTTCTGTATGGGAGGAATGGGATCTGGACTGGTGCGTTTATGTGTTTTCATTGAGGTATATGATTCATTTTCCCCAAAGGCTTCAGACCCATTTTCTCCAAGGCAGCTTTGCTATGCAATGGCAGCACCCCAGGAAACCAAGCCTTTCTCCCATATTAGAACATAAGAGTAGAGAGGAGATGATGTGATCTCCTTCTGTCATGGACTTCTCCCTCTCACACCATTCTAGAGTCTTAACCATGATCTCATCTGAAATCAGCCAGATTAGGACCACTGGAAACACCCAATGGACTGGCAGAAATCAAAACAAATGAGGCTTTGAACCAATAAGAAATGTTTGTATTTAGTAAATATAGATGGTCCATCTTTGTCTCACAGTGCACCATGTGTGCTATCATCTGTTGCCTCCTCAGTACATGACTGGACCCCTCCCCTTCTGATAATTCATGCCTCTGATGATGTCTTCCATCCCACTCTCTTCTATAAACATCATTGGTGACATGTGATCGCCTGCTTTGGATTACTTGCAACGTACATTAAGTGACATTTTATACTCCACCAGTCTCTGATGTGGCTGTTTCCTCCAACAGTGCGATCACTATCCACCCAGGTTGGCCCATCTTGTACAGTTCTCATCCATGTCTTCCCATAAGTTCATCCCCGGGAGACTACCCAGTGTCCAGGGGCATGGGGTGGTAAGGCTTTCAAGTTTTCTTGGCATCACTAAGATAACAATGAAGTCCATGTTCTATTCATCAGCTATCCATCGCTCTTGCCAAGTGGCTAGCTCATCTTTTATTCAGTCATGCATTTCATGTAATTTATAACCCCTTAAAATGCACTTATGCCTTTATATTACATTTCCCTGTGTATGTATCATATTTATCCTGGTTATTGTCCTTTATCCTGGTCGTTGTCCTTCCATCTCAAAGAGGACCAAATCCTAGTTATCCTATTTCCTCCCTTGACTAAGCTCCATGAAAGCAGGGATTATCAAAATTCTATGTCTTCTATTCCAGACAAACTGCTCTTAATAAATGTTTGTTCAACTTAATTCAATTGAATACATACTATTCTCAGGCTGGGTCCTGTGTTCTTTTTCCTTAGCCGAGAGAGTATTCCCCCAAGGATCTGTCCCTAGGAAGTCTTTCTCCATGAAGTGGTTCTATTTATCAGAAAACATCTTATAAAAACGACTAGCCATTAGGATGTTTGTTTACTTGACAGACGTTCACTGAGTGTCTATGATGTGCACAGTCCGGTCAGGGATCCAGATCTTTATGAATAACACCGGGTACCTCCCCTGGTGGAGCTATAGTCTCATAGGTGGAGAGATAACTATAATAGGAGCTAGTAGTCTTTACTGCCCCTATGATAAAGACCTTAAAGTGCTTAACTTTCTTAGTAACCTGAGTTCAGTGCTCAGGACTCTCCAAGATTGAGAAGCCTTCCAGAGCCAAAGGAATGAGTCTCTAACAGTAGTATTTAACTCTGTGATGTACTTTGGGGGAAAGTATCTTTGAGCAAGAGGGTCTTCCTGGTATCCTTTACATCAGAGTTGTCAAACACAAGACTCCAAAACTACCTATGGCTGACAACATTCTCCAGTGAGGCCAGAACCAGATTAAAATGCAATGGGAAAATATTTTTAAAATAAATAAAAATACAAATAAAACCTAGGTAACATTACATTTTAAAAATTAAGTCTGTGCAGCCAGCAGGGATCCTTATGCATGGATTTTCTGTTTGAGTCTGATGTCACTGCTTTAAATCATGTTCCTCATTAGGGTATGCTATTTTCCTGGTCCATCTCCTCTCCCCCAACTTATAGTCAGGTTGGAGCTGCTCTGCCTGTGAGGCAGATAAAACTCGCCTTCTCCCTCCCCTTTAGGTCCAGGCCTCTCTGCTTTGTGCTTGATTCTGCCTGCCTTCTTCCCCACCGCATGGCCTGTGCATCCTTTTCTCATTCTCCTTCCATCACTGAGTTTGCTTCATTGTACTTGGAGCTCAGTCTGCTCTGAATTCCACACTCTGTGAGAAATGATATGCCCCCTAAATTCCTCTCTTTTCTCCAGGATTTCAGGAAATATGAGGAAGACTTTAACCCCTATTCCATGGTAAGAAACAGATGCCCTTGGCTTCCCTGAGAGGTTGGAGGGAGGGAGGAGGAGAGATGAGTAAGAAGGGTCAGCCCAAGTTTGAGGTGATTCACAAGGGCTGCTGAAATTGAGCCAGAGTGATGCATGTGCTCCCTGGAAAGGTCAGGTAGGAATGTGAAGGTAAGGTCTGTGTGCAATGCCTGCCAGAGAGAGCCCCGAACCTGGAAAGCACTCATATCCCATATTCAATGCTCGCAGTCCAGCTGGTGTGCATGGAGATACACAGTTTGTAATCTGAATGATCTTGTATATGTAACTGCCTCGGGAGGGGTCAAAGGCATCAGTAATGCATTTAATGTGACCCTGGAGTGAAGATCCAGCATCATGACTGAGTACGTTGGAAGTGGGGGAAGGGAGGGGTATATATATGCATGGGTCTTTGAGACATTTGTGGCTTCTTATTCAAGAAACCTCGTGTTCCCTTACCTGAAACTTTCTCTTCTTCATCCAATTTTTCTATTAATATTCAAGGGTCCCATACTGTCTCTCTTTCCAGTTCCTCCCAGAGCAGATCATGGGGAAAGATGTCCGGCTTCTACGAATTAAAAAGGTAATACAGCTACTTGGGTAGGGGTCTCCTCCGCCGTGTCCAAGGGCAACCACATTGTGGCCACCATGCTGCCCCTGAGGCAGAGAGAAACATCTACCTTCCTCTTGCCCAGTTTAGCCATACTTTTCTTGTAAATAGAAGACATGAGTGGCCTCCTAATCTGTCCCCCTCAGTGCCTGCAGACAAATCCTTCCACTCTGTCACCTAAGTAAGGTCATGTCCAATGATGTTACCTTTGGAAGGACAACGCCCCTTCCTGCTGTGGGTGTGTTTCCTCAAGTGTCTCATGGCATGCTTTGTGATGTAGTGAAAGTCCTTTTTGCCCAATCCTTGGGCCATCCAACCGTCCTCATTATTATGGTACAGTATTGAACTGGGACTTCCTTTTACTAGAAGCCACGTGAAGAGGATGAGATGAGTTTTCTCCTCTGGGGTAGCGATGGGGAGGATTAGCTGAGCTCTAGCTTCCTCCCCTCCTTTCCAGTTAAAACCTTAAAGAAGCAGATTAAAAGCCTTCCTGGGACCCTCAGATCTGGGCTGGGTTGGCTCCCCTTCCTTCTTTCTGTTTTCCCATTGTTGTGTTTTTCAACAAGCATTTATTAAGTGCTTACTGTGTGCCCAAAACTGTACTAAGCTCTGTCCTCTGTTCCCTCTTTTGTTTATTTTCCATGCTCTGGCAAGGGCACTGATGACAATCAAAGTTTATCTTGGGCCTCAACAGATAACAAGTAGTAGTATAGTAGCAGCAGCAGCAGCAGCAATAGTAGCAGTAGTAGCAGCAGCAGCAGCAGTAGTAGTAGTAGTAGTAGTAGTAGCAGTAGCAATAGCAATAGTAGTAGTAGTAGCAGCAGTAGTAGTAGTTATATAGCACCTACTATGTGCAGTGCCAGGCGCTGTTCTAAGTGCTTTACAAATGTTATCTTATTTGATCTTCTTACAGTCCAGAACGGAGCTCAAGGTGGGAATCCAGCCTTTGCTCTCCTTGGGCTCTTGGGACCCTTCTGACGCAAGCTGTCTCTATTTCAGGATCCTTGGGGAGGCGGGGTCTCTGGAGGTCCTTGAACCTTTAAACTGTAGAACTGTTTTTTAATAATTATCAGCCCATTTCACCTAGTTATTTTTTCCCATAAAAAAAAAAACCCAAACTCTGAAACACAGAGGGCAGTATGATTGAGTGGCAGGAGCCCTGCTCCAGGAGCAAGGTCCCTCAAAGCTCTGTCACTGACTATGGGAGCTTGGGCAAATCATTTAACTTTTTTTCACAGTTAATATTCAAAGAACGTGCTTGGTCTGGGCAGCCTACCTATTCCATCAACTTCTGCAGTTTGGTATCACCCTGCAGACAGGAGGGTAACGTGAGGGTTTCTCAGAATGTACTAAGTGAAGAAGCGCATAGAAAGTACTTTGTAAACTGTAAGAGTACTATAGAAATAGGAGCTGCTGCTGCTGCTGCTACTACTATTACTACTACCACCAGTATTAGTACTATTAAATTCAATAAACATTTACTAGGAGCCTACTATGTGCAAGGCATTGTCCTAAATGTTGGAGAGACAAAAGGGGTATAGTAGGAAGAGCTAGATGGCACAGTGGATAGAGCACTTGGCCTGGAGTCAGGAAGGCCTGAATTCAAATCCAGCCTTAAACACTTACCAGCTGTGTGACCCTAGGCAAGTCACTGGACCTTTGTCAGCCTCAATTTCCCCACCTGTAAAATGGGGATCATAAGAGTACCTACCTCACAGGGTTGTTGTAAGGATCAAATGAAAAAATATTTGTAAAATAACAAGGGCAACTAGGTAGCACAGTAGATGGAGCACCAGGCCTGGAGTCAGGAAGATTTATTATTTTCCTGAGTTCAGATCCGGCCTCAGACACTTACTAGCTGTGTGAACCTAGGTGAGTCACTTAATCCTGTTTGCCTCAGATATATATAGATGTGTGTGTGTGTGTGTGTGTATACATACACATTTATATTTATATACATGTTGTATTTTTGTATATTTACATTTATATTCACGTACATATTATATTTATATACACATATATGTATGTGTGTATATACATGCATATATACATACATATAATTTTCCTCACTATATATATCTTCTTTTATATATACATATATATATACACATATACACACACACACACATATATATGTGTATATACATATATATATATTCTATAAAATGAGGTGGAGAAGGAAATGGCAAACCACTCCAATAAATTTGCCAAGAAAACCACAAATGGGACACAAAGATTCGGACACAACTGAAATGACACAACATAGTACATAGTAGGTGCTTAATAAATGCTTTTCCCCATACCAACTTAGAGTCAATGGATCTAGGTTCAAATTCTAGCTCCACCACTGAGCACCTATGTGATATTGGGCAAGTGATTTCACCTCTTTTGGCTTCTTTTAAATGAAGGGGTATACTTGATGACTTCAAGGGTCATCTCCAGCTCTAAATCTATGATGTTATGGAGTTATTATTAACATTTCCATTGGTCATAGGTCAGTTAACAAACATTTATTAAGCACTATATGCCAGGTGCCATGCTAAGTGTTAAAAGTCAGAATAAGTCCCTGGCCTCAAGAAGATTACATTCTAATGTGGGAAGCAATACATATATATATGTGTGTGTGTGTGTGTGTGTGTGTGTGTGTGTGTGTGTGTGTGTGTATGTATATATATATATATATACATATATATATATACACACACACATATATGTGTATGTATGTAGGAATAGGTATATAAAACCAAGTAACATAAATGATATTTGCAGAGTAGATGGATGGTCTTCGGTTCAAGTCCTGTCTCCACCATTATGTGACCACCAAAAACTCACATAATTATGTTTAATTCAACACATGTTAATTAGGTACCAGCTATGTGCAAGGGCCTGAACTTGGCCATGGAATAGTAGGGTATTGTAACTAGAACAGACCTTAGACATTCCTAGTCTGACCCAGTCGTTTTACAGGTGAGAAAATGGAGGCCAAAAAAAGCTAAGTGATTTGCCCAAGGTCACAAATTAAGTTAGCTACAGAGGTAGAATCTGAACCCAGGTCTCCCTTCCTCCCTTCTGTCCTCTGTTTCCTTCTTTATAAAATGATGAGTTTGGGTTAGAAGGTCTCTTTTAACTAAGACATTTTGTGTGTCTATGCTTCTAATTCTGACTGGTTGTGTGACTCTTCTATTAAAGAAAGTAGAAACACTGCAGCCTGATTCTCTCCCAGTGAGAAGCCAGAAGTCCCATGAAGCTTCTGATAATGAGAAATGTGCATGATTTGTTCTCTGCCACATTACTGGGTTAAGGCCCCACCCCTAATAGGCCTCATATGGAAGTGCCTGGAGTGGTCACTCATCCAGGGCCATCGCTGCAAGGACACAACACTGGGCATTGCTGTTACTATTGCTCTTCTGTGTCGTCACCCCCATCCCAAACTCTAGCCCCATTGAAGGGAGGGCCTCAGAGTCTTAGGAGAGGGAAACACAGCACATGCAGAAAGGACTTATTTCCCTGGCTGCTAATATCTTCCTGCTTCAGATTACCTGCATATACCATATATACATATATATATATTATATATATATATATATATATATAATATGTACATATATATATATTATATAATATATATATATGCATATACCATATATACATATATATATTATATATATATGTATATATATACACACACACACACACACACATATACATATACATATACATGTGTGTATCTTGTATGTACATCTCTTACAGGTCAGCTCTCCCTTTAGAATGTAACCCATGTGGAGAGCAGGGACTGTTTTTGCCTTTCTTTATGTCCCCAGCACTTAGTACTGTCCCTGGCACATAGTAGGTGCTTAACAAATGCTTGTTGGCTTACTGGTGTGAAAGGACTACTGCCTCGACTATATGTGGGATGTTGGATGAATCACTTAACTTTGCTGGGCCTCAGTTTCCTCATCTGTAAAAATGAAGGAATGAAACAAGCATTTATTAAACACCTACTATGTGCCTCATTTTTATCCTCACAATAACCCTGGGAGGTAGATGCTATGAATACTCCTGTTTTATGTTGAAGAAACTGAGGTGGGCAGCGGTGAAGAGACTTGCTGAAGGTCTTAGAGACATTGAGAGTCTGAGGCCAAATTTAAATTCAGGTCTTCTCAGCAGTCTCTCCACCTGCCTCTAAGGAGTTCAGTTGTTTTTCAGTCTAATTCTCATGACCCCATTTGGGCTTTTCTTGGCAGAGACACTGCAGTGGTTTGCCATTTCCTTCTCCAGCCCATTTTACAGATGAGGAAACTGAGGCAAACAGAGTGAAGTGACTTGCCCAGGGTCACAAAGCTAGCAAGTGTCTGAGGCCAGATTTGAACTCACTGAGAGGAATCTCTCTGACGCCAGGCCTGGCCCTCTATCCGCTGCACCATCCCTTGCTCCCCATAAGGTGTTGGACCAGATAGCCTCAAAGGTCTCCTTCAGCCCTGAGTCCTCGGGTCTGTGCTCCATCCCCACATACCCAGCACTCATAGACTGCTGGTCTCTAGGTCTCCCATCCTCTTTCCCCGCCTCTTTTCAGGAAGGGTCATTAGATCTGGCTGTTGAAGGTGGTGTCGACTCCCCCATTGGGAAAATTGTGGTGTCTGCTGTGTATGAAGACGGGGCTGCTGATCGTCACGGTAAGCACCGTGGGGGCCACGTTGGGGAATGGAGAAGAAAACCACCATCACCTAGTGTTTGCTGAGGGCCGGCCTTGTATGTGCAGCTGCCAGAGAGAGGTGATTCCACATGGAAAGCCTTTCCCCGTCTCCGTATGTCAAAATCCTGCCCGTCATTTGCTTTCTTTTTTTTTTCTGCCCAACATTTTTTTTTTGGTGAGGCAATTGTGGTTAAGTGACTTGCCCAGGGTCACACAGCTAGTAAGTGTTATGTGTCTGAGGCCGGATTTGAACTCAGGTCCTCCTGATTCCAGGGCCAGTGCCCTATCCACTGCACCACCTAGCTGGCCCCGAAACTTTCTGAGACTTGGTTCCAATGCCACCTCCTCCATGAAGCCTTCCCTGATCCCCTCAACCCCATAATAGGATGTGGCCTCTCCCTCCACTCCATTCCCATAGCCCTTTGGCTATCCTTCTGTTATGGTGCTTATGGTGTTTAAGTGATATCATTTGTTGTTATTCCTCCCCTAGGAGACTGTAAGCACATTGTGAGCTCCGAGGATCATTCTAGTAAAAACAGCTGCCATTCATATGAAGCTTTACAACCTGCAAAGCCCCTCACTTAAGTTATCTCCTCAGAGCCCTATATAACCCTAGGGAGTTGGTCCTGCCGGCATGACTGGCCTCCTTTTCCAGACGAGGAAGCTGGAGCTTGCTGACATTAAATGACGTATCCAGTGTCACACAGCTAGGAATGTCAGAGGTGGAATTTAAACCCAGGTCTTCCTGAGTCCAAGTCCCCTGCTCCCTCTGCTGCCTCATGTCCCTTCCCCAGCACCTACCACACAGTAGGCTCCCAATCGATATTCAGTCGCCGCAGCTGGAAGAGACCTTAGAAAAAGGGATAAAGAACGTCTCCCTTTCTGAGCTCTGTTTCCTACTGATTCTCCTCTCCCTTTCACTAAGGCCATAATCTTTCCCTAATAAAGAATCTTTGTTGTTGTTCAGTCATGTCCTACTCTTCCTGACCCCATTTGGGGTTTTCTTGGTAATGATACCAGAGTGGTTTGCCATTTCCTCTCCAGCTTATTTTACAGATGATAAAACTAAAGCAAACAGGGTTAAGTGACTTGCCCAGGGCCACACAGCTAAGTAAGTGTCTGAGGTCAGATATGAACTCCGGTCTTCCTGACTCCAGGCCTGGCACTCTAACATGGACCTATCCTGTCTGCTGTGGCCTCATTTTCTTTCTGCATCTACTTCTCTTGAGAATCTTTCCAGGGCTGGTCATCTGAAGTGCATCTGGGGCTGCTTCCACAGGGCACAGAAAGCAGGGACAAAAACGCTCGCTTAGAGCCCTTCCCCGTGCCTGGGGTGTTGGCCTTGTTGGTGACAGTGTTATTGTTTTTAAAGAAGACCAGTGGGGAGTCTAGGGCTGGAGCCCACGGCCTCTTGTCCTATGTGTGAGGGGAGAGAGTAAAAAGTCATGTTTTGTCACTGTCTCCCCTGCCAGGTGGCATTGTGAAAGGCGATGAGATCATGGCAATCAATGGTAAGATTGTAATGGACTTCACCTTGGCAGAGGCCCAAGCAACCCTACAGAAGGCCTGGAACCAGGGCGGGGTAAGAATAGTCCCTATCCTTAGAATGTAATAATAATAGCTAGCATTTTTTATAGGGATTTAAGGTTTGCTAAGCATCTTACACACCTTAGCCCATTTGATCCTCCCTGGGAAGTAGGTTCTCTTACTATCCCCATTTTACAGATGAGTAGATTAAGACTGACGGAGGTTAAGTCCCAGAGTCACACAGAAAGTAAGTGTCTGAAGCTGGATTTGACCTCAGGTCTTCCTGACTCCAGTCCAGGGCTCTATCCACTGAGCCACCCAGCTGTCAAATTCTTTGAGGTTAAGGATCAATTTTTGCTTTTGCTTTTGCTTTGTACAGTGCCTGGCATATAGTAAACACAATAAATGTTTACTGATCGATGCCTGCTCTACTGTCTACCCACTCATATACATTTGGCCTTTGGAAGTGAGGTCAACATCTTTCACTGTGTGTACACTCCATGGCACAAGGTCTCAAGCATCACAGCATCACTAGTATCCCACAAGACACCAGCAACCCCCACCACCAACTACACCTCTCGAAACAGTGAAATGCTTCCCTTAAGGAAGATGCTACCCAAGACCTGTCAGTTTCCCCTGAGAGTAAATCTCCCTCTTCCTCCCAGTGAGAAAAAAATAGAAGGAATACCCTGTCTGCAATCGATAATCATTTATAGGAACAGAGGCAGAGCCCGACCCCCTATTACCCAGGAGGGCTCTGAGCTCAGAGAGTATATCACCAGTGGGTTTTGAGTTCCTTGGTTCTGAGGTGTTATGGAGACAGATGGGTTACCCAGGCCTATGCCAGAGGCAGCACAGACCAGTAGAAAGAGCACTGAGTGGGAGGTCAAAGGCCTAGCTTAGATTCCACTCTCGGCTTACTACCTCTGAGCAAGCCACTTGATATCTCTGGGCCTCAGTTTCCACATCTGTAAAATGAAAGGGTTAGATCAGATGACTTCAAAAGCACCCACCAAATATAGGTCCCATGATTTTAAAAATTGGTCATTTTGAATGGTACTTGACATTTTGAGTTGTGAATGATGGTTACGGGGTGTATAGAAAAGTCCCTGCTGTTGTTTGAGGGAAGGTGTAGGTGATGGGATAGGCACTGGAAAACGCATTGTCCACATCATCAGGGCAACAGGAACTTTGTGTCCAGAGTAATTCTCATCTCTTCCTCCAGGATTGGATCGATTTGGTCATTGCAGTGTCCCCACCCAAGGAGTACGATGATGAACTGTAAGTCCCTGTCAGAGTCTTTCCTCTGACCACTTCCTGCAACCTAGTCAACCTTCACATAAACCTACAAGTGGGAGAAAAAAGTGCGCCCTCTTCCCCCCAATTTGGGCTTCCTCAGATACCTTGCTTTCTTGGGAATGTCTTGAGGTCCCATCATCTCCATAAAGTCTTCCAGCTTAAAGATTTGTTCTGCACTTTGCAAATGAGTATCTGCAGTACCTCCACATTTGCCCAAGGGTTTGCCCAAGGTGTGCCCAAAGACACCCCTATCCTTTGCTTGCTCACTCAAACCCTCCCTCTCCTCTCTCCTCCTCCTCTCTTCCCTCCTCTTCTCCCCCCTTCCCCTTCTGACTTTCCTCTCTTCCTCTCTTTCCCTACCTTCTTTCCTCCTTTTCCCATCCTCTCTCCCCTCCCTGTCTCACTCTTTTCTCTTCTCCCTCCGTCCCACTCTCTACCTTCCCATCTCTCCCTTTCCCTCTTTCTCCACCTCTTTCTCCCTCCCCCTCACTCTCCCTCCCCTTTCCTTCTTTCCCTCCCCTCCTCTCTCAATTCCTCTTCTCCTTCTCCTCCCCTCCTCTTTCTCCTTATTCTGTTTGTCTGTGATTCTCTCCTTAGAAATCTGGCGCCGCCTCTCTGACTCCTGAACACAGACACCACTGCAATATAGATTCACCATAATCACATTTTATTTCATCATCAGACATCCATCATTAATCCCAAAGCTGACATTCTAACAAAACATCGTCTTATGGAAAGAGCTCTGGATTTGGAGTCTGGGCTCCAGTGCTGGCTCAGACACTTATTAGCTATGGGACCTTAAGAGAGTCATTTCCTGATTCTGGCCTTATGAAATGGGTGGGACCAAATGCTCTTCTAAGGTCTCTGAGCTCCAATGCCATGATTCTGGCTCTGATGACTCGAGGCCCCAGTAAGTCTTAGGGAGGCCAGCATCACTCAGGCCCCTCTGTCTTCTTAAACTTCTGGGAAGATGAATGGTACTTGACATTGGGTGGGGGTTGGGGAAGGAAGGGGCTGCACCTGTGAAAAGATCGACCAGTCCAAAGGAAATAACCTGAGTCGCCATTTTGTGTGTTTTCCTGCTCTCTGTATGTAGCTCTTCTCTTTCCTGCTCTGCAGACAGCAGCCCCCAGCCACTCAGAAAGAGCCTTGAAGGCAGCATCCCCGTGCACAGACATGGGTTTCTCCTGCAGCTGTAGCCCCGCAGCATTCCCTCATGGTGAATAGACAGTCCTTCCAAGGCTAACCGTTCTGCGGCCAACCTGTCATCTTGCGCAGGTCGGCACAATGTTCTTTGGACTGCTGCCTGAGTCGTCAAACACTGTTGGTGCTGCCCAACATCATCCTCTAAACGTGCCACTGAGGCAGATGTTTGGCTGGGGACAGGTTTCTGGTTCATATCTGACACGGCCATGGTGATTGGGAGAACAGCACAACTTTGCCAATCTGTGCCATGTGCTATCCTAACCCCACCTTCCAACTCATGGCTAAAGTAATGCCTATCTCTGCCATGTGGGCCCTGATCTGAGCTGGAATCACAGCCTAGAATTCTGGCCTTTTCTACCCCATTCCATGTTGGGTACAAATAGTGCCATAAAACATGACAAAGGCAGCATTGGCACCATTGATAAAAATGCTGCCTATAACTTCCCCCCCCCAATTAAAAATGTAACAGGCATGTTTCTTATCAAGTCCTGAAACAACTGACCTCTTGGGGTACAATCAGTCAGTCAATACATATTTATTAAGTGCCTGCTGTGTGCCAAGCCCTGGTGATGCAAATACAAAGAAGGAAATAATCCCTACTCTAATGGGGCCTCTTCCAAGCACCCTGTCTCCATTCCAGGCAACAAATGCCAGCCAGAGCTGGATCGAATTTGAAAATTTTTCAAGGCTGATCCAAAGAACTGGAACCAGTGTTCCTCACATCCTTTCCTGCCTTGGGTTATATGAAAAATAATGTTTCTTGTTTCTTCTCCCTCCATTCCTGCTCCTGTGCCAGGAGAGCCATCTCAGATATGTAAGAATGTGACTTATGCCCCCCAGCCCATGTCAGGGGGTTCCCATGGGCAGAACCAGCAGGCAGATGGGTATATCACCACTGTTTGGTGTGGCCTAAAGCTACATTCTGGAAATGAGCAATGAACAACTTGGCCCCAGGCTGAGTCTGCTTGGAAAATTTAGCCTTCTGCTATTGGGTTTAGCATATCGTTTCCATTTCACAAAATGTTAAGACTATACACTCCCACTGTTTTCACTCTGACACCCTGGTGGCCTCTGGGGGCCTCCCTCTGTCCTGGGAGTGGGTCTGGCCTTAAGCTTTCTGTCACTTGGAATCTCTGGTTTCCCAAGGGGTTTTCTTGGCCTGCTTTCTATCTTCTCCTTCCTGATCTCACAAGGGAAAAAGTTAGCTCTCCTCATCCCTTGCAATCCTGCGGGCCAGAGCCCATAGCTGGCTTGTGCGCCCACGGGCAGAGGAGAGAGAGAGGCTTCTGCTAAAGACATGCATGAGCTTTGGTTGATTGTGAGCCGGATTTTGTCTGGAGGCTGGCATCATCCTTCTCCCCTTCCTTGTGTTACAGGACATTTTTCTGAAGTCCAGGAGACACCAAATCCACGCCTAGCTGACATCCGATTCTTCCATCTGACCCTGTGACTGGGCATCTGCTTTTGGGAATGTCATATCATTCTGATTTTAGTCCTCACAGATCACGGGATCCTTTTCTGGAAGGTTCCACAACCAGTCAGCGGGATGTCTTCCCATCTATCATTCAGCACTAATGCTTCCTTGAGCCAGACTTGAACTGAGCAGCTCAGTCCTGCCCACCTCCTCTCTAGGCTGAAGCCCAGGAGAGCTGGGAGGGAGCTCCCAGGAGGGGACTGGGGGTGGAGGGTGACTTTGATGAGACGGAGGAGAGTCCTTTATCAGCGCAGTACTTCGCTATTTCTAATGCCATCTCCTTACCTGTGAATTTGGTTTCTCCACAACTCCTAAAACTCCACAGAGGACTATGAGGAATTAGAGCTTCAAATCCCTCCCTCTATCTAACCCCTCTTCCATCTCTGCCCTGAATAAGGATTTAGAGGAAAATACCATTAAGCTCTGGAGGACCCTCCCCAGTGCTCTCTGAAATACTTTCTTTGGGTTGCAATTATTTTGGGGTTGGGGGCAGAGTACCCTCCTCGAAACTGGCCAATAAATTGATTACCTGATTGTCAACTAGCATTTCTTGATCACCTACAATGTTCCATGCACTGGGCTAAGCTCTGGAAACATAAAGAAAGGTAAAAACCAAATCCTTGCTCTAAAGGGAAGGTCAACATACAGACAACTATGTACATGCAAGATACATAGCATGACAAATTGATGGTCATCTCAGAGGGAAGGAACTCTGGTTAACGAAGACTAGAAAAGACTTTTTTGCACGAGGTGAGACTTTAGCTGAGACTTTCTGCTGGTGTCTGTGCTTAAAGCCCAGATAAGGGTAAGAGCGGATTATAGGATTATAGATTTCAAGCTAGAATGAACCTCACAGCCTCTTATGGTTTATTTTTTGTTGTTGTTATGGTTGTTACACTTTAAGTTTTGAACTCTCTCCCTCTGCCCCACCTGGAATTACAGAAGACTATCATTTGACACAAAAAAAAACACCCATATACACATATGTATACATACATGTGTGTTTACATATATGTAAAACCATACTGTACATACTTTTACATATATGTGTAAAACCATGCTATGCATACTTCTATTTATCAGCTTTTTCTCTGGAGGCAGATAGCATCTTCCTTCATAGGTCTTTTGTAGTTGATTTAAGTATATATAATACTCAGAATAACTTAGTCGTTCACAGTTATTCTATGAACCATATTGCAGAGCCTCTCATCTTACAGAGAAAGAAACTCGGGCTTCTGGAGGAAAAGTGACTTTCCCAAGGCCACACTGGCAGTGTCAGAGATGGGATTTGAACCCAAGACCAGTGCTCTGTCCATTGTCCCATAGCTTAATGTATGCACTTCCTCTCCTGTCTAGCCAGTTTCTCCTCTCGGAGCTCCCTCAGAGTCTAAATCAAATCCCATTCTGGTCAAGGCTTACTCCCAGGTATATTGGCTTGTCCATAGGGAATGTCTTTAAGACCCAAAGAACTGAATCCCCTCCAAGGAACAGACTGAACATGAATCCTCCCTTAGAGGCTTATTGAACGTCTTCATACACTGCATTTCCATCAAACTGGCCAACTTGCTATCCCCCAAGGCTGCTATCCCACTTTCTGTCTCCCTAGTTTTACACAGACTCACTCCTGGAATGCCTAGAATATAACTCCCATCACCTCTACCTTTCAGACTTTCTAGCTTCCTTCAAGCCTCAGCTGTGCCACCTTCTACAGGAAGCCTTTCGTGATTGCCCCTCATGAGTTCTATCTCGCACCTGAAATTATCACACGCTGTCTATGCTTTTCTGTTTGCATATTGTATCTCCCCGCCCCCCAGTAGAACATACAACTTTCTAAAGGGCAGGTTTTGATATGGCAAGTGGCCTAGCACATCGACTCTCAGCATCTCACAGAATCAGAGAATTTGGAGGGGCCTCAGAAGCCATCTAAGACAAAGTATACACCAGAGGAATACCCACTATAATATACCCAAGGAGCAGGAACACAACCCCTGTCGAAGCAGCCCATTCTATTTTTGGACTGCTGTCAAGAAGTTTGAATTGCATTATAACAGGTGCTTAAAAATGCTTATTGGACTGAATTTGATTAATTCAACAAGCATTTAAATAGATGAGTGTGGTCATATTCTGGAAGACCAGCTGTCATACAAGTACATAGGGGAGAAGTACAAAGAAAATGTACCCTCGCGCTCTTTCATGGAAGCAGAAAAGGGAAAGGGGGCATGAATGCCAAGACCAGGGCACCCAGACATGGTTCAAGTGCCAGGAGATGACCTAGTAGTTAGGGATGAGATTTGGCAGATCTTGTAATTCAGGGAGCCATGAATAAATGCTCAGATACCAGGGAGGTCAGGAGACTTAGAGCCTCGATCCAGAGTTCAGGGATTAGGAAAATTTGCTAATGAGTGAGAGGTGAAACACCTAAGAGGGCTGAAGGCAAACATCCTCAATGGGCTCTAAGAAGAGGAGGCAATCCCCTAGGGTGCCCACTATGGGCCTGTGGAGCCCAATATCCTCTCTCCAAACTCCTCCACTTCATCCTCCTCAACCCCCATCATACAGAGACAATGTACTATTCCATCCACCATCTGGAACCAGCCTGGGCCAGAAAACATTAAGCTGGAATGTAACTTAAATATCCCCTAATTATACTATCATCAGATTTGAAACCAAACAGGGATCTTGGAACTCAGCTCCCTCTTTTTACAGATAAGGAAACTGAGAGTCAGAAAGGTTATGTTACTTGCCCAAGGTCGAACAGGGAGTAAGTAGGAGAAGCAAGATTCTTACTCCAAGTCCAGAGCCTTCTCCACCACTATACCAATTCACTCCTCCCATTTCACAGAGGTAGTAACCAAGGCTGAAAGAGAGGGGTGTGACTTACCCAAGGTCACATAGCAAGTTAGTGGCAGAAGTTGGAGATAGAGCCCAATCCTCCTAACTCCTGGCGCAAAGCTCTGCCTGATGCACCAAACTGCAGTAGAATACTGTCATGCAGAAATTGTAAATAACAGAGGATGTCTGCTCAGATTCCAGGCTTGGGAAAAAATAAACAGGAAAGTGTTCCTTCTGATAAAACACTGAATGACCCTGTCTCCTGCAGTCCTCTCCTTTTATCCTCCCCGCCCCCACTTCAGGGCTCTCTATCACTCAGATTTCTTGACTATAAACTATAAAACACAGCACAGAGCTCCCCTGGAAGCAAGAAATAGGCTTTTAAAAAATTATTGTTGTAACCTTTACATTTGAAACAAAGAGCAATAAATAATCAAACTATATTTAGGGCAAATAGTAAGTCTCTAAATAAAAGCCTAAATTGTAAACTATTTACAGTTTTCAGAACTAGTAACAATATATACAAATATATACAAAAATATTAAAAGCAATATGTACAAATATATACAAAAATATGTGGCAGGTGGGGATAGGAACTAGACCAGTAATTTCACCAGTATTGGAAACTACCAGAGGAGACAAACTCCCCCTAAAATGGAGGTCAGCACCTTCTCTATGACTTATAGCCAGAGAGCAGCTAGGTGGAGTAGTGAATGGAACACCGGCCCTGAAGTCAGGAGGACCTGAGTTCAGATCCAACCTCAGACTAAACACTTGATACTTACTAGCTGTGTGATGTTGGGCAAGTCACTTAACCCCAATTGCCTAAAAACAAACAAAAACAAAAACAACTTATAGCCAGAAAACTGGTGAGAGCACTAAGGGTGTAGGTGACTTGCCCAAGGTCACACAGCAGGTAGCTGGCCGTCAAAGATGGGACTTGGGCTCAGGTCTCACTGGCTCCCAGGCCAGCTCTCCATTCATTACACTAGGCCACCTATTCTAACAAAAGAAACACAAAAATACAGCTGTGCTGTCTTCTGAATCTGTCTATTGACAAGCACACTGTGTGTCAGAGGCCCCTCCAAGACACCAAGGGCCTGAGTATACTTTGGAAGACTTCTCACTTCTGCTGCCTGCTCTCACCCTAATCTGGAAACCTCAGTAATCACTTTTCAAGGGACCTTGGTAGTCAGTGACAGGCTGCAAGGTATAGTCCAGTCTCCTCATTATACAACAGAGGAAATTGAAGCCCTGAGAAGCTGCATAATTTGCTCAAGGTCACACAGGTATTAAATGGCAGAGCTGGAACTCTGACTCCAAACCCAGCATGCTTTGCCTTGTACCATGCTATGTTTAAGATAGTTCAAATGGCCAGGATGACAACCGTCAACAATCTTTTATTGAAAGCACTGTGCTAGGCACCTGAATTACACAATTGAAATGACTGTCTTTTGCTTTCATGGAGTTCATAGTCTAGCACTATATTAAGCCATTACAAAATCACAGCCTCTCACAGTAGAAAGAAGTGGTAGTACAACTTCCCATCCAATTTAGGAGCCCCAGAGGCTCCATGATATGATCTGTCCATCAATGAGCATTTACCAAGTGCCTACTATGTCATTATGTACTGTGTTGAGCTCTGGAGATACAAAGAAAGACAAGAGACAATCACAGCTTTCAAGGAGCTCACAGATAAAATATATACAGGATAAATTGGAAATAAGCGATAGAGAGAAGGCAGAGCAACAGAGTTGGAGCTGGAAGACCTGAGTTCAAATCCTGTCTCTGACACTTACTTTGTGACCCTGTGCAAGTCACTTAACCTCTTTGATCTTCAATTTTTTTCATCTGTAAAATGGGAGTGTTAGACTTGACTTCTAAGGTATCTTCCAGCTCTAAATCTATGACCCTAGGATTGCTTCTTCGGCTTCCATGGCAGATGGTCATCTGGTCTCTTCTTGAACATTCCCATTTATGAGAAGCTCTTGAAATCACAAGACAGTAGTACAGCACTCAGAGTTAGTGAGTACTCATAGTACACAGTTACTGAATTAGAATCTATTCTACAATTTACCCAGAAAGTAGTCATACAATCATTGCTTGGAGACTTCTCTTGAGGGAGAACCATTCTACTTGGGATCATAGATTTAATGCTATAAAGGACCTTAGTTGTAATTGAGTTCAGCTACCTTACTTTACATTTGAGGGAACTGAGGCCATAAAATGACTTGCTGAAGATCATGATGGTATTACATGGCAGAGCTTCAAATGGCTAGGACGACAAGTCAACAACCTCCAAGGAATAGAAGAATAATGTTCTTTTTCATATTGAGCTAAAATCTGCCTTTCTGGAATTTTCACCCATAGGTCCTAATTTTGCTCTCTGGGGCCATACAGAGTAAGTTCAATCTCTTACAAATGACACCTCTTCAGATACTTGAAGGCAGCTATCATATTCTCTGCTGAAAGGGCTCATCTTTGTGCTCTTGAGGAGGGCTGTTGTATTCTATTTTTGAGGTGATGGAGTTATCTATAATAGTGAGTGATAGCTTTTTATCTCTCATCCCCTTTGAGTAGAAGAATGGTAGATATGCAGTTCACTGAGTGATTAATAATATGAGCTGAACCTGCCAGTAATCAGGATGCTTCCTGGTTGGCTAAAAGAGAGATTGGGATTGTAGAATGGACCAGCGAGCCTGATCCTTAGCACCGAGATAACACAATCCCAACTGGTCAGGGTATGTTCTAGGGGGAAGATGCCATTTTCTTTTGGTGGAACAGAGGGAAGCTGGAGGTCATGAGCCAAACTGAACCTAAGAAACTGTAGTACTTTCCTTTTGTAACTCATGATTCACGCCCCTCCTCCTCCCAAGACTGTGGGTTAACATGAAATGGGCCTATTCCTGGGGCCTGACCCATTTGCTTTCTTTGGTTCATTGCTCCCACCTGGAATTACTCTAGAAAACTCTCTAAATATTGCTTCCATTAAGGTCATGTTTAAGTTTCCCGAAGTGTAGCTAATAGGCCACCCTACTCCTGTATAAGCACTCGAGGTAACAGCGCATAAAGATTCCCTTTATTTCACTTCATAGAAAATGAAGATGATGGAAAATACACATGGAAACCCATAAACAGTTACTGAAATGCAGAAAACAGCCCATTAGCTCCCCACAAAAGGGAATTGAACTTGGGGATGTTTTTGAGACAGCCCTTTGACATTCTGGAAGACCCCTACCCCTCCTACAGGGTTCTACACAGTCTCTTCCAGACTCATAGCATCCTTCTGTGCTTTGGATTCTCCTCAGAAGACAGACGCATTTGGAAGCTTTTGATTTAGTAATCTTCCCAGTGGACTGGCACTGTCTGAATAACTCACTGGCTCATGTTCTCCAAGTAGGATGCTATTCAGGAGCTATGTGATGCATCCTCTTTTCTCTCCAAGGAACGTGCTACAACAGGAAACCATCCTCTCTCTCTCAAAAGTCCATTCCCCAAACTCTCAAGTTGGGCAGCTCTTGAAATGGGGGTCAGTTTCCTCATCTGTTGAATGGAGATTGTAGTGCCTGTGCTCTTTCATTCATAATGTAGCCACAGCAATGAAATGAGGTAATAGAAGCAAAAGTACTTTGAAAAGTATAAAATGTGATGCTAATGTGATTTGCTATGTCATATTATAATCATTATAATCACTACTACTACAAAGCAGAAAATTTCAAAACAAAGTGCTGCCATGCTTCTTAACAGCAATTCTTCTCCTAATGTAGTTATCCACTTGCCCCAGCAACAGCCAAGGAGTGTATTGTGTGTGTGTGTGTGTGTGTGTGTGTGTGTGTGTGTGCATGCATCAGCACGCACACGGTTGCACATGGGTCCATGCACAAGCACGCACAAGTACATGTGCTTGCCAGTGTTTAAGGTGCAGTGTGTGGGAGGACAGAAGGACTTAGGCTCAGAATTACTGCCAAACAGTGAAGGTGGACTCCATGACTGAATGCACGATTCCTCCTTTCTTTAGCTTATATTTGGAATGATGAACAATCTTTGCAGTGAGCCTCCCTGGGTTGGTGTTCCCTTCTGTTGTGTGTGTCCCAGGAAAGCCTTTCTGGGCCTCAGTTTCTGCATGTGGAAGATGGAGGAATTGGAATTTTAAATTATCTCTGATCCTCTGCCCCACCCAACTGCTAGTGCCTTCTGTGTGTGTGTGTGTGTGTGTGTGTGTGTGTCTCTCTCTCCTCTGTCTCTGTCTCTATCTCTCTGTCTCTCTCTCTCATTTCCTTGTACCTACTTCTATTTATTAACTTTACATTTATGTTGTATATACATGTCTCCTCCATTTGAATGTAAGTTCAATATGATTAGAAACTATTGTCTTCTTTGTACCTGTATCCCAATCATTTAGCACAGTGCCTAGCACATAATTGCTGAATAAATACATTTTATATCTGTTTTGCATATACCATGTATATACCTCTAGATATAGACTGTTGTATATAGATATATGAACTATGTATATGTATGTATAGATCTCAGAACTACATGTGTATAGATCTCCCCAAATAGAATGTAAACTCCTTGAGGGCAGGGACTGTTTCACTTTTGTCTTTGTATCCCCAGAACCAAGTATGAAGTGGGTACTTAACAAATGCTTGTTAATTCATTGGATTTTGCCTTCAGTTGTTGATTGAAGGGTGCTTCCAGATCTCATATTCTAGGTTTTATGACTCTGAGATTGTTTAATTCTACTCACTAAATATATCTCAAAATCCTATATCCAAATATCCACAGTGGACCAAACATACTAAGCCATAAGAAGCAAAGCTTCCCTCTTGGGATTTAAGGCTGCCCAATCATACAGGTATTGCCTCTTGCCTTTTGTTTTTCTTGTCTATTTTATGTGAGATAATGGACCCCATTCTACCTCTCCCTTTCTCCTTCTCCCAGTATAATCCTCTCTCACTCCTTAATTTTATTCTCCAGATATCACTCCATTTTCAACTCACCCTGTGCCCTCTACCTATCTACATTTATGTATCTATATATAGATGTATATATATGTATATACATACATATAATTTTCCCCTCCAACTATTCTACTACTGACAAAAGACTCATGAGTTACAAATATCATCTTTCCATGCAGAATGTAAACAGTTCAGCCTTAATAAGTGTCTTATGATTTCTCTTTCCTGTTTACCTCTTCACATTTCTCTTAAGTCTTGTATCTGAAAGTCAAAT